ATCTGGGATTAAAAAATCCCTTGCAGCTCAAGCCAATTTTCTGCAAAATTCCCACAGAATGTGGGGTTGCTTAGGATTTGGTTATAACACTTTGAATCTGCTTAATAACTAATGATGAAATACAGCGACTTCATGCTGCTCTGATGTACTTTTGGATGGAGGACAAGAGTGATGCAAATATGACAAATTCTTCAGTTATCTTTGCCTCCCTCCCCACATCTTTCTTTTTAGGTTGCCCTCAATGAGTCTTTCTATGTATTGCATAGAAATAATTAGCAGGATAAATAATGACTCCATGAAATGCCTAAGAACTGGACTAGGGAGAGTGAGGCCTGTGGGCACAACAGTGCTCTCCTACTGTGTTGCTGGTGCCCACATGAGGCCCAGCCTTTGCACTGGTTGTTTATGATAAAATTCCTTACTGGCAGTGGTGTTGCTTCAAAGCAAAGGGAGGGCCCTGAGCTTTTCCCATCTTCTTTTTCCATTAATGTCTCTGGGACACATGTGGGCCTCAGAGACATGCTGAGGAAACAAAAATTGCTGGTGGCTGCAGGCCAGTGCTTCTTTTCACAGCATGTCCATTTTATACTGTTGTCCAGAATTGTTTGTCAATTTTACAGATGTGCCCAGGAGCCCTAAAAGATTGCCTTTGCCTTCCTTAGAACATGCATTGGACAGGTTCTCGTCCAGTGACATTAGCTAGAAAATAAATACACCAGTTGCACCTGTTTGTTTTTTTTCATAAACTTAAATCAGTTCAAGACTATGGGTGCAATACTATGCATGCTTAGAAAAGAAAGCTCCTACATCCCCCAGCCAGTCAAGGGCAGGATTGTAACCTATGTTTCCTAGCCTTCTTCCAAAACTTCCCTAATTTCAATTCTACTCTACATGTATTAACAAAATGCAGCTAGTTTTACCTTGTTTCAAATGTGTTTAGAAGATTAGCCATTGCTTATGTTTTTCATATTTTGTAAGCTACCTTGAGTGGTGATTGTTTTGCAGGGAAAAGTGGCTACAGTGACCCACTTTTTTATTGAGTACATAAATAAAATGCATTGATAGATGTGAAACTTTGCTTTCTCTTTTGCTTCCATCAAGTCATATTGCTCCTCCCATTACAGTACTGGAAATGTCCACCCTCTTTTCTCATTCCCTCACTTATTCTTAGGTTTTATTTAAACTGGGACTAAGGAGACCCAGATTGTAACCCTTGCTCAAACATGCTACTCACTGAGTGACTTTGGGCCAGTCACTGACTCAGCTCAACCTACCTCACAGGGCTGTTGTGAAGCTAAAGTAGAGGAGAAGGAGACTATGTAAGATTTGTTAGGCTCCTTGCAAGAAGTAAAAAGGTAGGATATAAAAGTACATTTGAAAAAGATAAATGAGCAATATACCTCAGATAAATGAATAATATACCTCTGTCTTTGTGCTCTATTCCACCCATTCTACAATCCACAACCATTCAAACATATTTAACTCAAAAGCCTATCTTCTTCTCTCTTTCTTTTCTTCTTTTCCTATGCCCTTGATCTGGAATAGGTGTTTCACACTCTTATATTGAGCCACACACAAACACCCTCTCAGTGAATGCTCCTCAAATTTCACCTCTTCTATGACCCTTTTGACCTACCTCTACAGTCCACATTTCCAGGCAAAGCAAGACCAGGCAGTTAGGCTGGCTGTGTCAATGTCACATGGGAGGGAATGAGGTCACAGTATTTGCATAAAAGCAAGAAATGATCGCTTTAGATTGAAAGTACTTCTCACAGAGCAGAAAAGATGGAACAGGTGAACTGTGTGAGCTTGCTTGGCCTGCTTTCCAGGTGCTGAGGACTGGTGGGAAACTGCAGGGCCGCACCTGGGCCAACTGGGGTGTCTTTGCCTTTAAACTGGACATGGGCCAGGCAGCCATTCCAATGGAGTAGGCATGGGAAATCCTCTTCAGCCCACTCAAAAATGGAGTGGCCATTTTTAGTAGTTAAAATGAAAACCCAGTTTTGGCTCAGCTGTTTTAAATTTTCTTTTCACTGCTTATTACACATTCTTATGTATACTGAAAGCTAGAGACAATGGTATCTTCTCTATTTCATTCCCTGCTACAGTAACTGACCAAACCAAAATGGCATTCAAAACAGTAACTTGTGATCCTCTCCCCCAACTTGTTATTTTATGTAATCCACGAGGAGAGTCCTCAGACTAGCGTAGCAGAAGATAAGTTAAATAAATAAAGTTTTTAAAATAGGTTAATCTGTTATTCTGATCAACTAATAATATCCTATTCTCTATCATCTGCTTCCAGATTTTTAGGAGTTAGGGGCATACCAAATCAGCCTTCCATGCCTGCAGGGGGATGGTAGGAGAGATGTTGTTCAACACACGTTGAAGGCAACACTATGTTGGGAAAGATCACACAGGGTGTTTCTCATGAGTTTGCTTGCAAGGAGATTCTTGTACTTGCCAAAGAGTCCTTGCTCAGTTTCTAGTATCTCCACTGAAGGCATCTCAAGAAGGGCTGGGTTCTCTTTGTGGGCTCTTTGTGGTAATCACCATTGCATGTTAGCACAGCTGGGCTCAGAGAGCCCAATAACCCACCATTCAATGGCAACCCACACTCAAGCCATACTTCTCTCAACTTGGCTTTCCAAATATTGAGTAATTCCAGTAATGAGTGAATCACTTCCACAGAGGAAATAAAGATCAACAGAGTGAGAAGTCCGAAGTGAAAATCTAGTCAGGGAGATAATGAACAGAAAGCTAGTCCACAAGGTGCAGCTGCCCACAATGCTCCGAGTTGCAGAGAAGGCAGGACATTTCCAGGTCTTCCACCCATTGAATCCTGCCAGGACTGGGGAAGCTACACAGGCTTCAATACCTGGAAGTAGCTGCTGAGCATAGCCATTGGACATCAGATCCTGGCAAAGAAACCTGCCCCTCAGACAGTAGCTGAGCCTGACTGGGCATTCCTGCCCAGCCCTTTTCTGCAAGTGACAGACCAAAGGCGGCTCCTCCAAAACACCCTGTCCTACTGAGACTAGGGCTGGCTGGAAGCTCCATGGAGTCCAACTCTCTAGCACTTGCAGATTTCTGCTCATGACTGGCCCTGCTTAAACAGGAGATGAGCCCAGAGGGGCATCTCTTGAATGCTGCTGAAACAAAGGTTACACAACTGGCAGCTTTCTTCCATGACACATATTGGGTTACATGCAACACAAAGGCTGATGCACTTGATGTGAAAGAGGAATTCTGCTTGTGCAGCATTTTCTCATGGCTCACGCCATGAACATCGGGTACAATGACTAGGATCCCAGAGTCATATCCATGACATAGTGGATCAGAGTCCTGGGAGCTGAGCCCAGGACATCTGACTGGGGACAGATTCTTGCTCCCAAAATGGATTCCTCACAGATCCCTAGCTGAGATCTTCTCCTGCTGCTCTGTTCCCAGGGCTGATATCCCTGGATGGTAAGCAGGACCCTCCCACAAGGCCAAGTCTTCCAGCTGTGAAAGACTGGGCATATCAGTGTCCAGCACCTCCCTGCTCCTTGTTTGCTCAGCAGTGGGACGTCTGGCAGAACAGAATGCTTTGGCCTCTGGTTGCCCACAGCAGGGCTTGGCTCTGCAGTTTCTCCCTTCAAGGCAGAATCCATGTTGGAGGCTGAAGTTCCCTCTAGATTTGGGCAGCATCCCACGATACACAGTCCTTGAGTGAACCCAGTCACTGCTGATCAAAATTAAGCCGGGGTAGAAATATAGAAACAAAGCAAGTCAGATGGAGCTTCCCAGGCCATCTAGTCTGACTCTTAGCTCCAACTGGATCGGCTCATGTAATCCCCAACATGTGGTTGTCCAATCTTTCCTTGAACACACTCACTGATGGGACCTCAACCACCTCCCTTGGAAGCCCATTCCATATCCTAGGGGTCCTAACCATCAGGAAGTTCTTCCTGACTTCCATCCAATACTTGGTGTATCCTAGATGCTTTGGATCACTGCTGCCATCAGTTTCATCCATCCCTTACAGGGATGTACTTAATTATGCAAGCCTTTGGCATGTAAGCTGTTCTGTTGGGTCCAGCACTGTTTTTCTTGCCTAGCAGGGCTATCGGTGCAGTCTATAAATTAAATGAATAAATAATGGTTTTACTCATGTTTTACTTCTGAAATGTTTTAAGTCCTGTAATTGTAAGTGACCTTAAGTGCCATTTTCCAGATAGAAAGGCAGAGTAGAAATCAAATCAATAGACCCCTGCTCTGAAGCAGAACAATCATCACTGTCTGTAACTTCCACAGATTCCTTTCATGCCCACACTGTCAACCAAGGCGGCATGAGCACTGATGGGTCTTACTGTAGATACACAAAGCACTCGCAGCTCCACACCCTCATGTTCTGCTTCCACATTTTCAGTGTGGCCATAAAGCAAGGAACAGGAACTACAGAACCATCCTGTGGGGAGGCAGAGCCGAGATAAGAAGCAAGAATCTCGCTTTGATGTACCTTCACTGAAAACAGTGGAGCGGACTCGGCATGCAGAGAGAGAGCTCCTGATTCACGGCCACGAGGTCACTGCCAAACCCAGCTTCACAGAAAGCAACTGCAGCAAAGGCAGCATGTGGCTGAGTCCTTATCCAAAAGTTGGGGACCACCCACCCGGTAAGGTCCTGCTGGAGCCTGGGCACCAGCCAGCCTGTGGTGCAAGAGCACTGCAACACCTGACAGAAAAACAACAATTGCCAGTCAAGCCACAGTGCGTCCACTATTTAACTTTCCATGCTAGCTAGTCCTGCCCTCTGAGGAGGCTTATCAGTTTTTACTTTATTGTTTTTAATGGGTGATTTAATACAAGTGTCGTGGGATGTGGCCTGCATTCCACTTGAGTGTTTTAGCTGAGGCTGATGTCCAGAAAAGAACCGCGTTTTTGTGTTGTTGCTTTGAAAATTGGGGCGGGGGGGGGGGGGAGAAATAATAATGATCTTCGGCATCTGACCTCTTGGCACAGCAGAGAGATTGTCATAGGGGGCATGTGACTTGTTAAGCAAGACACCCAACCGGGCTTGAAGGAAACAGCTGCTCATTTATGCTTTAGCGCTTGGCAGCCGGACAAAGAAAGGAGACTTTTGTGTTGAATACCTCTGCAGAACCAAGTGCCGTAAGTGATTTTCCCTGTTGTCTTTGTGCTGGGTGGTGTTTCTGTGCATTTTTTAAGTTACAAAGTCTTCCTGGTTTCTCTTTAGACTTCTTGCTGCCAAGGTGCAAGTTTGCCACCTCAGAACTGGTTCTCCATACAATCAGAATAAAATGGGGACTTTGTGGGGTTTTGCTTCCATGAGGAAAAAGTGCAATGAAATGCAATAGGTGATTCTCAAAAGTCCTTTATGGTGTGGCTTGCCTGGTTCAGTACAGGGCAAAGCTCCTGTGTCTTTAAGAGCCAAGGAGGAAAGAATTTGGGCTGCTATAACTGCTCAGGCTGTTGCAGGCTGAAAGGAAACTACAATTAGTAAAGTTCTCCCTTCTGTGAAATAATTAAAGATACAGAAACACTGTTTTGTTTTGGAATGTGGCAGTCCTGTTTATAGTCTGATGGTTTGGTTTCCTTGTCATGCCATGAACTTGGTCACAGCGAGAAGCCAAGATTGCATTTCAATTTAACTGTGAACAGTCATTTACAAGGAACTCTTTCAAAAAAAAAGAACACCCCATCTCAGGAGTTATTAATTGCGGCATGTGTGCCAGGTGGATGAAAGAACACTGACTTTTGGTTAATCAAAATGAGAGATTACTGCCTTCTTTCATAAATGGTTCTGGAAATTGCTTCTGAAAACATTACGCCTATTTGCATAACTTTAGTTTCCAGAGAGTGAGGAAAGTCCAATCTTAGAACAGGCAGCGTGTTTTCCACATTTTATTGGTCTTCAGAATTTATTTATATGTTTAGTAATTGTCACTTTTTATCTTGCTGCACATGTCCATGAGGAGGGGTGTGGCAATGGCAGGGAAGGGCAAAGTGCTCCCCTCTTGCCTTCCTGTAGGCATATGATTGGCCACAGTGGGAAGCAAGATGCTGAGCTTGGTGGACCATTGCTCTTATAGTCTCAGTTTTCTTTAACTACTCTTATCCAAATTATGCTCCAAAGCACGCTAGATGCATGACAGAATACAAACTAGTAACTTTTCCATTCAGTTTGTTCAGATTTATTCAGTCTTTAAACCCCACGATTGGGCATTTGGACTTTGGATAAAAGAACAGGAGCCTCCATGTGGGCAGAAATTTCAGAACCATTCAGCTTATTCCGTATGTGGTTTGGTCCACATTCAGAGGATCTCAGATCAGTAGAGGATGACTTCTCCAAGTCTCCAGTGCCCTTTTCCAGAGCTTTTCCACGCTGTTCATGTAAAGTGGTGGTGTGTATTATGCACAGTCCAGGCCATGCCTCCCAAGGCAGTGCATCTGTTGCAGAAGATCTGTCTCCCTGTTGCTCCAACTGCAGTGCTGAATTGGTGCGGAAATACATTTCTTTCCTTGCTGATGGTAGTACTGATTGCGCTGTGACCCTGGAGCCTTACCGGGCATCTGTTGGTTAGTGCCTATGGCTATGTGATTCACTGTTCTTGCCATATGTACACATTTCTTCAAAATCATTTTTAAAGTTGCTTTTTTGTTTTGCTGCTATAATTATTTTATTGCTAATAGCTGGGTACTCTTCACAGTTCTGTTGCAGTAATATACCCTTCTTTGGGGCAAGAAGTGTATATAGCCAAGGGTTTGCAAATAAATTATTTTTAATGAATTCTTTTTCTTCCTTTTCAGTAGCAGGGTGCTCCAGGTATGATGCCCCTGTGCCATTTTATCATGGAAATTACCCTTCTTATCTGTTTGCCCAGCTTAGGGAAAAGCATATCGAGGAGGGTGACTTTTGCTGGGAAAGCAGCTAGGGGTGGAAGGGATAATATCCCTCCCCCTCTGTACTATGGTCCCAAGCCAGATTCAGTGCCCCCCTCAGCTGCTATTTGTTAATAGGGGAACAGAAATGCCATCAAACACATACAGAGTCAGACCCTTGATGCATGTAGTCCAATGCTACCAGCAATGACTGGGAGCAGCTCTCCAGGTTTTCAGGCAGGATCCTTGTCTAGCCCTACCTGGAGATGCTAGAAATCAAACCTTGAACCTTCTGCAGGTGACTTACGCCTGAGCCAAGGCTCCACCCCAGGAGGCAGTTCTACTGCACCTTGCATAATTTGAAATAGGAGTCCTGCACAGAGCAAGGAGTTGGCCCCAACAACCTTCTTGGCCCCTTCCAACTCCCAATGTTCTGTGAGGCTAAGAAGACCAGATCAAAACAGGACAGCTTTTAACACCTCTGTGTGAGAAGTGGCAACTAGCAAATGCCCTTTCTTCTAAATAGTTTAATAATTGTTTAGAAGCCTGGAAATGAAAAAGCCTGGCTTGGTGGATTTTCCCCCAAGGCAATTGCACTGTAGGTTTACAAGTTCAGAGTAAGCGTTTTCGCCATTGGCATCTCCTTCCCTTTTGCCAGTGAGAGTTGAGATCCGAACGCACACCTCAGAGAAAGACTGCCGTCTGGAGCGGAGCATGCTAAGGCATGCAATAAGTATCCTTATTTTTCTGTATTTTGGGGTTTCACACCTGTGAAATGTTTTCTTTGACAGTGCCACTAAAGCGCACAGTCCCTTCCATGATATAGCATGTGTGTGTGTGACTGCTTCTGTGGAATTCCTTGGGAGAGAAAGAGTGAACAGCAAGGCTGAGGAATGTGTGAAATGGCAGCTTCCACTTAGGAGTGGCTAGAAAAATTAATGGATTTTCCATTTTGCTGGAAGTTGATCATGTCTTTGCACTAAATTGGTAGGTAAATTTCAGAGCAGAAAGGAAACACCCAGGAGCAAACCACTATCAGTGGAGGCCAGATATAGATGAAGAACACAGTCTTATTAGATTTGTTGCCAAAAGTGCTGCACCAGATGCAAACTTACAAAGGTGAGGCCTAGCTTCAGCTCCTGGGCCAGCAAGGGCGTATCGAGGACTACCATGACTGTCTGCTTGTCCTTCCTTTCATTTTCAACAGCATTTCATCATCAGGGACAGCAATCTGAACATGCATATAGTTGTGCAGGTACATTTTATCATTTATACCTTCAAATATCCTTCCCTGCAAGACATACAACAAAATGGTGCTTATCTGTTTAGCAACAGAGGGAAATTTTATGATTTAAAATTACATTTAAATCAAATTTATGAAATTATACATGCTCAGAGTATTTCTCTTCCTCCTTTTCTTCTAAACAGGAATGGCAAACCAATATGTGCTTTGCTTCTGTTTTTTTAATTTGCTCTAATGTATCCGAATGTAAAGATGGGTGCAAAGCACAGGATGATAAAGTGGGAAATAATGTGCAAGTTTCTCTAAAGAGAAGGCCCTAAAGTCCCTTGGGTCTTGGGTCCAACTTACCTAGCCACAACACTGCACCCATCTCTAAGAACCAAGCCTTCTCCAAGCAGGCCCCAGTATCAGCAAGATTCTAGGCTCTACTTCTACTCCACAGCCTACCACTGGGGATTTCTGACTGCTCATACTAGCACTGTGTGGGGAATCCAGGTTTGGAGTGGGGATCTGTCAGCTTGCCTCCCCAGACTCTAACTTGCTTTAACTTTGTCCTAGGCCTGACTCATGCCAAGCATGCGTGTGGATGACTGGCAGGAAGCCAGCCCAACTCTTGTGCAGGTACCACAGTGTGCTCACTGTGTGAGTGGAGTTCTGTTCTTCACATGTGACTTGCTGGCTTTGTGTCCTTTGCACTAGATTAATTCAGTGTGAAGAAAGGGCCTACTAGTATTGCCAAATGTTCATGGACTTGATCTTAGCTCAGCTCACTTCCTAGGCCAAGCATGGGAAAGAATCTGGCAAGCTCTAGACGGCTGAATTCCAGCTGGATCTTTGCATCTATAATCCATACTCATCTGTGGCCTCTATCCTTTACTGGATGCAAGGTTGGCAGCAGAGTGGTCATGAACCCTAGTAGACCCTTTATTGTAAGCCATCCTGAGACACTAGTGGTGGATGGGTTAGAAAGGTTTTAAATAAATAAATAAAATGTCACCCTCTAGTATTCATGTATTTCCTCTTGTGCTTGATCCAGTCTTGCAAAGTGAGCCAAGCCAAGAGGAAGTCCAGTAACACTAACAGAGTGAGGTTTGTGCAACTGGCAACCTCCCAGATCAGGTGCAGCAGCCCGAATGGCTGCATGGTGCAAAATGAAGGACTCTGCTTGGGGTCACATGGAGCTCCATTCCTGCCAAGCCCCATGCAACCACCAGCAGCATCCCTCTTCCACATCGGGTGCAGCAGGACAAAGTGGGGCTGAATAGGGATGTGCAGTGTGTGAAGCTCAATATCAGCCATGCGCCCCACAAATGCTTTGTACATTTGCCTGCAACTCAGACTCAGGAGTTCAGGGAGCTGAGTCCAAGCAGATTCCTCAAGCATCCCTGGCTGTCAGTTTCTCTTCGGGTGGGGATTCCATGTTGTTAACATCTGCATGGCAAGTAGAAATGTAGTAGCTGAAGCCTTTCCTAGAATGTTCCAGGAGATACATCATTTGCTGAATTTCTGCTCCTGTCCTGCCAGAAAAAAAGATGGCGATCTTCTCCGCATGGCAGTTGTAATGAATTAAACCATGAGAACTGATCCAGTAAAGAAGCAGCATGTATCTTTTGTATGGGCATTTTCACATACAATACTCGCTTTCATTGGATAGTAATGTGAATATGAAAGCTGTATTAGATGTTAATCTATATTTGTAACATGAGAGACACCACCCCAAGGAGCCCTGGCTTGTTCTAGAGCGTGCTTATTCCTCTGTGGCTTGCTGTGTCACTGGAATGTGGATGACAGGACCCACAAGTTGGAGGGAGAACCACAAGAAGCAACCTATTTGGCATGAAAGGATCCAGTGGCTCCTCCCTTTCACAAGTGCTGATGACAGCCACTGGTAAAGTGCCCAGGTGGCATTTGCTTGCATCTGTCACCAGCTTCCCTGCTGGATAGGGGCGCGATGGCGCATCCAGCTGGCCCTCCTCCTGGGGAAATCTGGTTGAATGTAGCCCTCCCTCCCCCACTGCCTGCAGCCATGATTGAGAAGCAGAGGCCATGGGGGGGGGGGGCAGGTCAGCTTGGTCCCTCCTTCCAGGGGATCCAGCTGAATGCACCACCCTCACTTGGTGTGGGGGCTGAGCTGAATGACGGGCAGTTCTTTCTATCATTGCCATGTCACAAAGAAGCACCTACCCTATTTCTATTTACCATGTGGGGGGCAGCTTCTGTCTGTCCTTTCCTGGCACCACAGCCAAATAGTGGGATGGACCTGCTCGCACGGCTTGGAAGCACAGGTCAAAGTGGCTTGTTGCCCCCACCACCATATCACACACACACACACACACACACACACACACACACACACACTTTGGGTTCCCTGCTCCATGCTCCTGCCAATGTCAGCATTGCAGACTTGCTCATGAGCAACCTATTTTCCTGGAGTACAGGAGTACAGGGCAGGCAGATGGCCGCTTCAGAAGTTTATCCCTCCGTGCTCCAGTGGTTTCCCATGGGATCCTAGCAGGAGGGCCAAGGAGGGAGGAGCAGGGCAGAGGAGGAGGGACCAGGCCCCTCTTCCCAATTGCATATTGGGCACAGAATAATTTTACCTGTCATCCATGGATAAAATTCCCAGGGGGGTTGGCAAGCTGTAAACCTGCCAGGTATGAAGAACCTCATGTAAAAGAGCCAGACTCAGTCCTGCAAAAATCGAGAAGCAAAAGCCTCGGTAAAGCAATGGGTTAGAAGCCTCATGTAGAGAAGGCTCTGTAATGCTGGTGGGAAACTTCTTGTCAGAACAGCAGGTGCAACTGTGAAGATTTAGCCTAGATGTAAAGCTTTAGCCTGTTCTCCCTGCTCTTTTTCCCTCCCAGTTTTCTGGTGAAGTACGGCAGAGGATGCAACCAACAGTCATCTAATGGGGACCCTTCTGCTCTTCTTCGGTGTGCTGAAACCATGTCTACTCTTCTGACAATGGGAAATACACTTGGGAAAGCTGCTACACTGGATGAACTATTAAGCACCTGCATTACTATGTTTGGTACAAGTCTTCCATTCTCCTTGATCTATCTGCATTTTTTTAACTGTTTGATATGTTTGCATCAGTATTGTCACCTTTCACTTCGTTGCTCTGCAGGTGCCCTTCATTGACTTTGCCCTGCTCTGGCTAGTATAAATATGCTTCCTTCTGCTAGGATTTTCCTCTGGATTTGTTCCCTGTCCAGAAAATAATGCTGAATTTGGACAGTTGCATTTTTCAGAGCTTGAATGGCACAGGCTACAAAAGGAGAACTCAGGAGATGGAACCATGAAGCAGTGGAGGCCATATAAATTCAGAACAGCCACTGCAGACCAAGAAATGTGTGGAAGACATGGAAATGGCTGTGGTTCTAATGACACAAAATCCAAGTGTTTGTGGTTCCTCTAAGGGAAAGGGTTCTGGGGATAAAGAAGGGCAGGTAGAATCATAGGAACGAGCATGGAAGCAGCATCAGTGACGGGCCAGTTGGATGCACTGCTGTCTGTTCTACGAGTCTCTACACACTTCTAGATTTGGAGAAAGACTTCATAACTGTTCTGGGAACAGCCCATACGGCTGTTGCTTAGCATGCTGCACAAAGACACCCGTTATATTCTTTCTGCATCTCCGTAGGGGAAAGGAGTATACTCCATAGCAGCTGAAATGTTACCTTTGTAGCATATTTGCTGAGAATTTGCTGAGTTGTTGTCGGCATGAACAACTGCCCAGTTTATGGCAAGATACTGTCTCCTCGCTTGAGCTCATGTCTGGTATACCATTTCTTTCACATAGACCTGGTTTGGATGACACAACAGTCCCTAACCCTTCTTATCTTAAGTGGGTTCTCGTGTTGTGAAGGGGGCACTTCCCTAAGGATGGCTTGTTCTTCCAAAGGGGCAGCCCTGGGGAGCAGGTCGGGCACCCCCACCTTCACTTGCTTCCTGGGAGGATGACTCCTGGACAGGAGGCAGGGCATGGGAGGAGTCAGGGCTACTGATCCAATCAGCAACAGTGCTCCAGGGGTGAAGGACAGTGCCACCAAGTGAATTGCTGGGTCCCACCTCCTGCCTGAGGGAGATCAAGACACTCCCCTTGCTCCAGTGTAAATAGGAAGTGGGGCTGCCCAATTCATTCCCCCATCCTCCCATTGCACTTCAGGGCATGAACCGTGTTAGTGCTACAGGGAGAAAGAAGAAAAACATACTGCTACCATGGACAGCAAAGAGTAGGAAATTCCAGCCTCTGCTAGGGAAAGGTGCAGGGGGTTGGCCCAGCCAGCACACAGGAGGTTGAAGTCATTGTATTTTAGGGCAGGCGTCCTGTTTGTGCCACAGCCAGGGAGCTGAAATGCTGCTTCCCTGTGTTGTCCCCTGGGATCCCAGGTTGGGTTGTTGTGTCACATGCCAGCAAATAAGTAGGGAAACTATGATGTGTGATTCATTTCTAAAAAAATGGAGCACTAATCAGGGACAAAAGTAGATTTCAGATTGCCTGAAGGGCAGGTGGTGTGCACATACCTTTGCACTGGCATGAGTTATTCTCACTTGTACATGTTTATCCCACTGTTCATAACTGTAAGCTTTCTTCAGAGATCCTTGTGTGTGTGATATTCAGCTGTCTTTAATAGGAATATTTAGCAATGCGTATTCTCCCATTTTAAGGCAGTATTTGTGTTTTTGCAGATCACAAAGGGGAACTGAGTAACAATCATTTGCCAAGAATCTTCCTTTTAATGCATCGGTGGTATCTAACTTCCACAGAACTGGCAGACAAACTTCTCTCCCTATATCCTTTCAAAAAATTTATATCGGTAGTACCAAGGATTTATCTAACAGATGGCACCTGAATGCTTTTAGTGCTGTTTTAACAAAGAAATGGGATATCTGGAATTTGTAAAAGGACATGGTGGGAAATCAGGCCCTGTATAACGTCTATACATTCTGCAAATTACAGTTTTGTAAATATTTGCTGTAGTGATACTAATATCCATACTTAGCAGTAGAGACAAATGATTTATTATCCTGTACTATAAGGGTTAAGATTGATTATTAATTTTAATATAGAACATACTTTTAATTTACAATGATGATGATGTGTTGGTATTTATTTTAATGAACACAGTTGCCTAGGCTAAGAAGAGCACATCCATCCTATTAACATTTCTAGATAGCCTGCTGCCCTTCCAAAATTATTTTGGGCAGCTTGCATGAGGGAAGTGTAACACAAATCTAACAACCAAGGGGCAAGTCTATGCATCTTTACTCAAGCATGGTTAGCTAGGGAGTGCCAAAATTTGTAGAACTACATGCTCAACCAGGTGATTACCACATGAACTGAAGCAGTCAAAAAATGAACACAGCACAGTAGCAACCAATAAAATATGCCTGCTTTGAACCAAACAAGAAAACAAGACCTTATACAAGTTACTGAAACTGAGAGGCAAGGCTTCTTTAACTGATCTACATATAGAAATGCCAGTGGGGAAAACTGCAGTGAAATCCGCTTAAAAATCTGCTACTTCATGAGGTAAATGGAATTTTGCTTCACCAGAAAGTATGTGTATATTCTTGACAGTTAAAAGATGGAGACCACCATATCTAGTATGAAGATGGTCAAAGCTGGAGATATGGGATCTCCCGAATATTTTTGCTTTTCTTCAGCACACCATCACAGTTTGGATTGGATTGGGACTGGGGAGAAGGGAGAGTAACCCATTTCTCCATGCCATTTTTATAGTTTAATTCCTGCTTCCTTGAAGCTGCTAATGGCTTCATAGTGGGGGAAGAACAAAGCATCCAGGTACTACCCGACTTTTTCTCCTGGAGAGCTAATACAGCTTATGGGGTGACCAGATTTAGTTGGGGACATCATAAAAGACAGGCAACACTCAGTGTAGCCAGGGAGACTTCCTTTACTTCCCACCTTGCTCCTTGCCCCTCCTGATTTGTATTTTATGCCTTAAGTTTTTTTTTTACTGAAAATATTAATTGGAATAGAGAGGCAAAATATTCCATGAAATTATATCTGAATAACTCTCCTGTTACCTTTGCAGATATTGGATTTTGGAATTTCCAGCAGAATTTAATCTAGACCTTGGTTTGGTGCGTCTGACTGAGGAATTTCAAGAATTAGCCAGTCGCCTAGGCTATGAAGAGCACATCCATCTTATCGATATTTCTAGCATGTAAGGATTGCCATCTGTGAGGTACCCGAGACAGATTGCTCTGCCCAGAGTCTGCAAACTAATCATATTGACAACCATTGTAAAACAACAACCACCGCTAAATAAGCAATGTTTACTCCAACACAAATTGATGTGACATTTTTAATGTTCCTCCTTTTATTATGTTATCATTATTTATTTCATTTCTATGCCACCTGTAGCCAAAGCTCTCTGTGTGGCAGATCCTTTTCAGAACATGAAAAGCATTGGCCACCACTTAGAAAAAACTTACATCACCCTGATTCGTAATGAGGAAAAAAATTGCTGCCTCTTTGAGGGTAGCTTTCTCTTTGTCTATGACACATACGATTTTGTCTACAATAAATAATGTTGTGTATTCATAAGGTTTTTAAGGAAATCATAAGGTTTTTAAGGAAAATGTCTGCATTGCACATAACAGCTTCCCACAGATTTCTTTGAAAGGAGCAGGCTAATATTGCATCGAGAGCCTGCAGGAGAGTTTGATTAAGGCACAGTTACGCTGGCAGCTTGTTTCAGGGATTGAAAGCCTTCCTTGATATCTGTGTAAGGTGTGTGATCTCTGAAAGAGTAGAGGTGTTTTTCACACCATGGAACTGATGCAGGACTAGTATAGAAAATGCTGCATGGGTGTAGCTGGCTCCTTGTAGTGAGCACAGGGTAGTGAAGGAAGAAGCAACCTGGAGCCCTGGCCAAGGCAGCTGCTGCTGCAAACTACAACACTTCCTCAGCTGAGAGTTATACCCCACCCTTCTCAGTCTGGGCCATCCCATCTCATGGCATTATTGCTTAAAGAACTCCTTCATCCCCCCCTTTTGCTGCTTTCTGAGGTGATGCTACAGAGCAAGCCTTAGATCAGCAGACTTCTCTTCAGCCATGAACCAACTGTTGAACACAGACTGCGATAGTGGGAGGCACTTTTAAATTTGTGTAGTATGTGCCTGCCCTTAATCTATGTCTCTCCTTGGACGCCACCCTCACCCATGCCTCTGCAAGTAAGTCCATGCTAAGCAAGCATACCTCTGATGCTTCACATGGGTGGAACTTTCCTAGGGTGCAATCCTATCCATGTTTAGATAGGAAACAAAATCCTCTATGCCTCTGCATTTCCCAGCTTGCCATGCATTGTAGGGCCCTTAATATGCATAGGATTGCACCCTTAAGCATGTAAGCAGGTCCAGATGACTTCAGAAGCAGGACAGGATGCTGCATGGAGAAGGTGGATTCTTGTTACCCACCATCTGCAGAGGCATAGATCTAGTGTAGGCTATTGTCTACCTGGCCCTGTGTCTCTGTTTCCTATAGTCCCTGAATCCAGATTTCCACTGGATTGACTACACTGATGGAAGAGCCACCCATCTTAACCTACTCCTTCCTTTGGCAGCCCTTCCAACCCCTGAAGATGCTACACAGCTAGTCAGTGCCCCCTGCTGAATGGGGAAATTGTGGTGTTGGAGGAAGGGGAAATCTCCAAAACTGAGGCAGGGGGACATTTTCATAAGAAAAGTCCATCTTCTCGCCTTAGGTTTCTTTATTCACAAAAGACAGGTCCTGGATCCAACCTGCACTATTTTAGAGATGCAGAACAAAGGTTTGTGCAATACCCTTTAGGTTGGAGCCCAGTTCAGGAAAAGCTCATAACTCACTAGTCTGAGTCCAGTGCCACCCGAGTTCTTCCAGAGCTCTAAATCCAAGCACTGGATAAATTCAGCAACCTCTCTATCATTCGACAGGCCTCTTTCTGTAAACATTATGAAATGAATAATTGGATGTGACAACTGATCTAGAATTTTTGCATAATCAACCACTTTTCTAGGTAGCACAAATCAGATCATATTAACAAGTTCCTTGCATCACACACATCAGCTCCACCTTGCTTTCATTACACTGGAAGAATCTCCTTCCTCTCAAATGACACTGCAGGAACTTGGTATTTTTATAGAATAATCTCTGAGTTCCAAAAGGTTAGACTTTCTGTGCTTATCAATTATACAGATGCTCTGAAACATTTTTCTAAGTATGAACTGTAAGTTTGTCAGTAGCTATTGGCAAAGAGTGCAGTGAAACCTCCTGTTTCAGAGGCAGTATATCATTGAACACAGGTTTTGTGGGGGGCAAACAGCAAAGAGACAGCTGCCTGCATCCTAGATTCTAGGATGTGTACAGGTGTGCCATGAAGGCAAGGGGGGCAGCAACGAATACCAATATATTAAAGTGCTTACTTCTATTAACTAAACCTTAGGAGAAGCATTTTACCTTTTTAGAATGGAGATGAAACTTCATAAACTCTGGGAGCCACCAAATGATCCATGGTTGTGCAAGGAAAGGAGCCAAGGCCAGGGGAAGGAAGGATGGTCTTCTGGGAATTCCAGAGGGCCAAAGTAGAACTCCAGGCAGGCTGCATTTGGCCACATTTTGCATCCTAGAGGCAGCTGGATGGCTTTTGTTGGAAAAAGAATGGCTCCTTGGTCTGATCCAGCAGAACTTGTTTATAGTTTTGTCCTTAGATCCACCTAAAGTAGCTCTCCACTGCCCTGCTTTCCACTGAACGAAGATAGCACAGCTAAATGAGACCACTGTCTCATTTAGCATTAAAACCCAACATGTATGGTTTGGCCCCTATAATCCTTGCTAGCTTCTAATTCCATCTTGTGCCTGGGCACAGATCCTGAGAGAAGTCCCTTCATTCTCTTTTACAGTCCTTCTTATGACTGGATGAGAAGAGTCACACAAAGGAAAAAAACTTCCAAGAAGGGAAAAGCTTGCCTGCTGTTTGATCACCTGGAACCAATTGAGCTTGCCGAGCATCTCACCTTTTTGGAGCATAAATCTTTTCGAAGGATTTCTGTAAGACATTTACAATTTCATATGTCCCTTCAAGTTTATGGCCAACACTGGCTATGTTTATGAGTCTGCCCAGATGATGACAGATTCCACTGAACAATACCTCAAGTTTTGGTGCTGGTCCCTGCTTGTTACTGAGTGTAGCATCAAAGGATAATTTGCTTATTTGCCCATCTGAATTAGCAATAATGGCATATTGATAAATTCAGATAGAATCACTTACTGTCAAGTAAAATACAATCAACAGTTATGTGAGTTTGCTGTCTGTTTATTGTGAATGGGTGGATTGCCATGTTTTTGCCTTTATAAATACACCATGAATTGGTGTGACCACAAGCAAATGAGCTACCATATTACTTCCTTTGTAATATGTTTTAAATCAGCTTTAATTTAATTTAATTAACATTTCTATGCCATCCTTTGCAACAAGCCTCAGGATGGCTTACAAAAGATAAACTAATCAGCAACCTACAAAGGCCTTGTTGCTGGGTTGTTTGATATGATGTCCAAACTCAACATCTAGGATATGGTAGGATGAAACAGCTCAAAATTTAACCCATCATGGGTGGTTGTTGGGTTAAACTCTGGGTTGTTTAACACCAAACAACTCTGAAAGCTGGGATTGGACATCGCATCAATTTTTTTAGGTATTGAGTAAAGCCAGTTGAAAATGGAAGTAGGAAATACATAGGAGTCTGTGAGATCATTTCCTTGTGCTTGGCCCTGGTTTGTCATCTTGTAAGAAAGGGCAGAGAGCAACCAGAATGATCAAGAACTAGAGCCAGGAATGTTGCAATGTTTGGGGCTCTTTCATTTAGAGAAAAGGTGAGTAGTGGAGGACCTGATACTGTGCATAAATTGTGCACAGTGCAGAGAAACTGGATAGGGAAAAGTTTTTCTCCTCTCTCATAATCCTAGAAACTCCAATAAAGTTCAATAAAACTGAATGGTGAGAAATTCAGGACAAATGAAAGGAAGGCCAACTTCATGCAATGTGTAGTTGAAGTATTCTTTATGGTATTCTTTATTATGAAATGTAATGATGGCTTTCAGTGAGAATTAGATAAATTCATGGGAGAGCATGCTGTCAATATCTATTAGCTAATTTTGTAGCATCTTCAACTTTGTAGGAATTCCTCTTTGCCTGTACTTGTGCTCTCCTTATATATTTGTAAATACAGCAGATGTTGAAGAAATGCACAAGGCTCCAGGACTCTCTTATGTAAAGAAAGTAATAAACCTAGCAATGCTTACCACATCTCTAAAGGGCTCTTTGGATGCAATGGTGGCAACTCATGAATCAGTTAATTAATTGCAGTAAATCATGGGTTAATTGATTCATCATTTACCACAGTATATAGTGAGCATGCTCTGCAGGTTTTTTTTTTTTTTTTAAACTCCTAATTTTAAACTCCTAATTGGAACAATAGGAGATTGCCACATGAAATCTAAACTTGGACAATATAGGTTGCTTGTGGATTAATCTAACCAATTGTAGTTAATCTAAGCAATTGTAGGATAACTGTGGGTTGTTTAATCCACAATTAACCTATAGTGCCTGGACTCAGATGTCACATAGTTCGAATATTTAAAATGGCCATGGAATGCATCCAACAAATGCCACTATTATGTGCTGGATCAATAGCTCACCACTTACAGACATGGTAAACATGCAATGACAGAAACAGTCCTGAAAATCATCAACTGTTTTAAATAATCAGGTTTTAAATAATCAAGTGTCAAAAGGGTCAAGTGTTAAAAGTTTTAAATAATCAGGTTTTAAATAATCAGTGTACATGCAGATGTGAGGCAGTTCTCGGGATGTCACCTTATCAGTAAATTTTGCTCTAGGACATGCATTTAAGCAATTAGGAAAAGGCACATCACAATGAAAGTATTGTCTTTGTCTAGTTTACAGATTATCAGAGCTATGTGATCCATGGCTGCCTGGAGAACAACCCAACTCTGGAAAGATCAATTGCTTTATTTAATGGCATCTCTAAATGGGTCCAGTTGATGGTCCTTAGCAAGCCAACCCCCCAGCAAAGGGCAGAAGTAATCAGAAAATTCATTAATGTTGCACAGGTAATATTGGTCTTGGAGCCTGATTTAGTTCCATAGAATGAAATAGAGTGAAAAGCAAACCCAAAAACAGGGTCAATGAGTGAGTTTGTTGTTGTTAACTGTACAAGATATGATTCCATGGACTATGGGGAAAAATAGTTAGGGAATGGAATGGGACGGTGGACTATACATTTTGTACAGGGCCTTCTTCATGACCCTAATTAAAATTGCTGACAAGAAAACTAAACACTTTCATGGCTGAATAAGCATTTGTTAAGACAGCTGTATCTTACAGGAGCACACTTCTGTTAGCTGCATCACTCCCTGCAGCTTCTTCGGGCATTCAATCATGTTCCAGCTTGCCAAAAAGAGGGAAATGTGGAACTGAATTCCCTAGATATGACAGCAAGCTGTCCATCATTTTGGTGGGTGTGGAGGCCCATGTATTGTGGGGGTTTCCGGTGAGCAGGACTTCCGCACCAGTACTAAACCTGCTTGTTATTTAATGTTTGCTGATGCCAGGACTGGGACAGGTGTTGTTCCCACCTGAACAGTGTCCACAAATCTTTACCTTTTCTAGTAGGAGAAAAGGGCAGCTATTCATTTATACTGAAGAAGAAGAAACAACAGTGATGGGTAGAAGATTAACTCGGCCCCTCTTTGGTGATCACAGGGTCTGGGTCAGAGAACTGGTTTTGGTTCTTCCCATTGTGTTCCAGACTGCAGCTCCATTATTTTGTCCATGCATACAGGCTGCTTCTTTTTTCTGCATGCCACTGCCCCTTTTCACTGCAGGTTCCCTCTAGATAGGTTGCACTGCAACTTCCATCATCCTCAGCTAGCATGCTCATGGAGTACCAGACTGGGAAAGACTGCATTAGAGTGTGTCAAAAGTGCTGACATTTCTGTTCTGATAATTCAGGTTTCAAATAAAAAGTTCAAATAAAATAAAAACCAATTCACCAATAAATACCAGAGATTTCAGTATATAATTTGTACAATTCTCTCTTTTTTCACTTTCCAAAGGGTTACAGACTTGGAAGCAATAGAGCTACTTCTAAACAAATATGTTTAGATTAAAATAAAAGACAGGCTTTATTTTATTGTTGTCTTTTCAAAAATATCTTAGGCTTGTCATTCATTGATACCTCTGCTAGTAGCGCTTGAATTTCAGTTATGAATTGATGTATCTCAATTTCACACACAACTTTCTACCTGTCAGTTTTCCTGTAATTTTCTCAGATTGTCCAAATGGTCAAGATCCATTATTTTTTGTCTCATGAATAAGGAGGTATAATTACACAACCCAGCGCTAGTTATCACTTGAATTATCTCTCCCTAAACCATACATTTAAGCCTGTACAGGCAGAGAAACATACTCTCAATTAAGATCCTCTGAACTCACAGTCATGTGTCTAATTTCTATGCAGAAACTTCTTCATCTCCAAAATTTCAATACCCTGATGGCTGTTGTTGGTGGACTGAGCCATAGTTCTATTTCACGTCTCAAAGAAACTCATTCTCACCTTTCTTCAGAAGTTACCAAGGTATGGGAATATATGTATTCATGGACTAGCATAGCCATATTTGTTTTTATGTCCTGTGGTAGACTCAAATATATGTAAATACTCTGCAGAGCAACATATGTAAATACAGATGTAATTTTTAAAAGATATGTGTTCCAATGGAATAAGGGAGACTTGAAAGCAACCATTGCCTATGAAGCTGTCTCCTCCTGAGCTAGCCACTGGGCCATCTAGCCCAGATGTTGGCTGGCAACATCTGCCATGGTCTCAGGTTCTTCCCAACTCCCCATGTTTCAACTGGAGATTCTGGGATTTGAACCCAGACTTTCTTCATGCAGACCATGTACACCACGACTGAACTACATCCTTTCATCAAAAAAATGGGAATGAAAAGCAACATTGAGTTACTTTTGCTTTTGAACAGCAAACCTCACCAAACAAAGCTAGTTTTCTAGTCTTCTGATATGAGTCTCCTATCTTTTAAGGCTGATCAAAGAAATGCCAAGAACGCATTGTAGAGTCTTGCTTCTTCTGTGCATTATTTACAGGATTGGAATGAAATGACTGAACTTGTCTCCTCCAATGGTAACTACTGCAACTACCGCAAAGCTTTTGCTGACTGTGTTGGCTTCAAAATCCCCATCTTAGGCGTCCACCTGAAGGACCTGATAGCAGTTCATGTCATCTTTCCAGACTGGATTGATGAGAACAAAGTCAACATTGTGAAAATGCAGCAGCTTTCAGTCACCTTGAGTGAGCTAGTTTCCCTGCAGACTGCTTCTCACCATCTTGAGCCAAACATGGACTTAATCAACTTGCTAACAGTAAGTTCCCAGAAAATTTAGTTTTGAAAATCTTCCTTTCCATCATATTATGTCCTTATAAGAACATAGAGTCGATCTAGTCCAGTATGTGTTTCAGCAGTGGCCAACCAAATGCCCACCAGAAGGATGTTAATGCAATAGCACCTGCTTGTGTTCCCCAAGCAAAGACATACTCCCTCTGATACTGGAGATAATATATAGGCATCATATATAGGCTATAAGTTTCATAGGTAACTTATAGCCATAAGAACTACTAACCTTTGATGGCCTTATTGAGCAATCCTATGCCCACTTACCTGCAACTAAGCCCCAATGATTCCGATGGGACTTACTTCTGAGATACACAGCAGTTACTGACTTGAGTGCCTTTGCATGGGATATGAGCACACTAGTGGCAGGAGGAGGAAGGGAGAAAGTGCAGAGTCTGTCCAGTTAGCAAGAGAACAACTAACCCACGTAATACTCCCTTACAGCACCTCAACCAGTCCTTTATTGGTCCTGGTGTCTGCCCCTGCAGGTGCCAACATAATGCTAGACACCTTTTGGGGCATTTGATGGGTTGACCTACCCTTCCCTTATTAAAAAAGAGTAAACACATTTTCATACAAGCAGCTGGGATTGCTGTAAAATAATTTCTGTTGGTGCTGACAAATGTGGCTCAAAGGAGTTGTTTAGTATGTTAGAGCTCAGACTTTTTAGTATAAGGCCAGTTAGTTTAATGTCTGCTTCAGGTAAATTGGTATTATTAAAACTGAAATAAGTAATTATATACAAGGACAACCCTGTTGAGAAAGAATCAGCATGGCTTCCACAAAGGTACATAGTGGCCCACTTATCCATTTTTTGAGAGTATCAGTAAACATGTGGTAGACATTGTTTACTTGGACTTCCAAAAGGATTTTGACAAAGTCCTCACCAAAGACTCCTGAGCAAACTTAGCAGTCATGGGATAAGAAAAGAGGTCCTCTTATGGGTCAGTAACTGGTTAAGAATCGAGAGCAGATAGTGGGGGATTTTTTCCATCTGGTAATAGTTATTGCTTCTGCTAGTTTATTAAGTCCTCTGTTGCAATTGTATCCTGTTTGATATGCTAAATAATAGGAAATAAATCTAAGGCTGAAATCCTTATCTGGGAGCAAGTTCCATTAAATTCAGAGGGCAGTGCTTTTGAGTAGGCATGGACAGGATTACAGTGGAAATTAAATTAAAATACCAGGAGCTGTGTTGGCTGTAGCACATTGTGGTTGAATTGCATACGATAATCTGACAGGGATGCGGGGGATGGCCGGCTGTTTGTTGGCTGTGTCTTGGACTTAATTGATAAAATGGCCTTTGGTCCACAGAAAGGCTTGCCCAGACATCAGCTTTGCATTCAGTGACAATGCCATACTGGAAATGTGGGATGTGGGAGGTCATATAAGGGGTGTGCTTTTCATTTCGAACCTGCTAATTCCAAGAGTTCCTTTCAGAGTAGCAGCAGGCGATATGGTGGACTGCCTCATGGCCATGGGACTTGTAAGCATGAGTCCCACAGAATCTTTGTACCATTATAGATCAGTACCTGACTTATAAATGCACTTAAGTTATTTATCCCAATTTACAACAGTCCTAAAAGTACAATTGCAGCACTCCAATCCAGCAGGCTGAACATCATGGTGGAACTGCTCCTTCTGTATGAATCACAGTAAAAAAAAGGATCACTATGGCCTGTTGGGGATGCAATACCATAAAAAAGAATTATTGAAGAGCATGAAGCTTAAATTACAGGAAACTATGCTTTGGGGGCGGGGGGCGGGGAACTACCAAGGAAAACCATTCTGCTATGTAGAGGCACATGGTCATTTCCTCCCCTCTAATCTGACTAGTTAGTTTTATTTATTAGTAGCATTTTATTTAGTTTTCTCTTTTTTCCCATTTGCACAATGCAAATAAAATAGTGCTGGAGGGTTGGGAGAAAGTTAGAATACATTCACATTCATAAATTGAAACGTTTCAAAGACACTTAAGCAGTACAATATGACAAAGTAGGCAAATCGGTGTCTGAAGGCTGGTGCCTCCAATGAGCAGTGTGCTGAAATACAGAAAGGGCCTCAAGGTCCTTAGTCTGCTGAAGAATCTCTGGGCAAAAGTGCTGTAGGCTTGATTTCCCATTTGAGGTATAAATCTTTTTGCTACCATGAGCACTCTCAAAATCCACTTTTGTTGACCATTTAATAGCTCCGAAAGCACAGAAATGTAATTCTAAGCACACAAATGTCAGTACATTTCTGCAATTTTTCTAATACAAAGTTAATCTTCATCCAAAAATGAGCCAGCATAGGACATGCTCAAAGCATATAGGAGATTGACACAAAATCCATAGCACAACAACAATATTTGTGGAAAGGTTTTTCTTTTAAAAAGGCAATCAGGTGGCCACTATGTATGGAAAAGCAACTAATACAACTAACATCATTGAAAGAGTCAGGATAAATGGTACACACAGGGGCAAGGGCAACCTTTCATTGTCTTTCATGCATGGGATGTTAAAGTTCTCTTTTCCACTCCCCTAATGCCTTGGGTATCTAACCTAGGAAACATATTTATCCTTTTCCTCATATTTATCCCTTCTTCTGCTTGCTTCTTCTACACTACAGTTCATTCTTCCCTTCCTAATGTCAGAGCCATCTATTTTCCTTTTTGCTTAGGGCTACTATCATGGCACTGTATAAACTATAAATATAAATATAGTTGTTGTTTGTATGCTTTTGTTGTTGGAAAAGTACTGAGAAAAGCTCTGTAGTGTAGAAAGGTGAAGCACTACACAATAATTTAGGTGGTGTTCCTGTATTTGTAACTTTTAAGAAACCAGTTCTGAAACTATGCAAATATCTGGAAAGTCCCAGAAGTTTTTACAGTCCAGTGAAAGTGTGACAAAGACTGTCTTTTTTAAAAAACAGATTGAAACTAACAGACATTTTTCAATGTAAAATGTAAAAGCAGGAGAGAGATGGTGACTGGCTATTGTTAAAGGACTCATGTGGACGCATGCTGATAAGTTTTTCCAAACTAATGTTGGATCTTGGATTTGGTAGTAGAAAGAGAATCACTGGGATACAGCAAGATATAAAATCTAAAGGAAGGGTGGGAAAATGAGTATTGGAGGTAGTGCTGCTCTATAGGAGAAAGAGAACATTGAATCTGATAAACTGTGAGAGGGAGATAGTCTTCCCCAGAACCATGGAAATGCTGGACCCAGAAAGTAATCTGGTAGTTGGGACATACTGTCTCTTCATCCTCTGACCAAAGCTGTTGAGAATAATCTTGAGACAGACAGATTTCACAGGGGCAACCAAAGGGGAAAATATTGGAATAACAGCTGACTTGAAGAAACTTTCACGCTGACTGAATAAATGCATTTGATCAAATGTGTTAGTCTTTAAGGCTCCACAGAATTCTTAATTGTGACAACTAGGTAACTCATGGAATTAGCGATTACCCTTGACTTAACCCTTAATGATGTCCAGGATCTGGCATGCAATATAAAAGTCGAATGGCTTAAGAACAGTGGAAAAGCCTTCTGGGGATGGAAAGTCTTCTTCAGTCAGTACATAGCTTTTGATCAGAAGAACATTTCTTTGGCTTCACTCCTTTCCACCAGCTGGTATGTGGAACTTGTGTGGAGCTTCAGCTGGTGACAGCCCCACCGGAAGAATAAAACTTGAGATCCATTCCAGTGATGGCAACGTATGTCAACATGTAGGTGAACAGTTGCTCAGAAGATCTAACCATCTCAAAAGAGAAGAGTATAATTCAAAGGAAATCTAAAGTGAGAACCAGGATGGTCTAAATAAGACCCCTATGTTCAGAAGCAGTGCATTTATTTTCATTCACTTTTTATTTTGTTGCTTATTACATGGCAACTGAAATAGGTAAGCTGGGACAGAGTCCAAGTCACCCAGTGAGCTCTGTCACTGAAACAGGATGGTCTGGAAATAAACAACCGGGAAGCTCTTGCCTCCATGTTTACTCTGTGCTTTCTGAATCTAACTGGCCTTACTTTGAAGCAGGACCTAAATCATGGATGGAGAATGTGTTGTCCTAAAGAGTCCATTCATATCCATAGACCAGCATATACCTGGACTAGATGGACTTTTAGTCTGAGCTCAAATAGGCAAGACTCATGTTCTTGTTGTTTCATTACAACCCTATGTAATCAAAGAAATCTTCTGCCCTTAATACTTGTATGGAAAAGGGAATGTCAGGTGGTCCAGCTTGTCTTATTCTCCTCTCCTTTCAAGTTGTACCCACCCAAATTCTTACTGCTATGCAACTGCCAAGGCAGAAAGAAAGACTCTCATTCTTTCTGTCTGGCCCTGACAGTGATGTGTTGAGTATATCACCTGAAACTGAAGCAAATGTTCCTGTTCTGTGTTTCTCTCTCTTCCGGGGCCTGTGCATGAACAGTTTAAGTCACTGAATCAGCAAGTAATGTCTGTTGAAACTAACCAAAACAAGGTGGTATTCAGCATTGTGAAATTCCCCACTTCTCTCTTTACCTATTATGCATATCAGTAAGCACACCAAGGATACTCAGCTTTATTTCCCTCTTGCATACAGTGATTTTTTTCCAGTGGTTTTTTTTTTGGGGGGGGGGGGAAATGTTGTTTACGATCATTGAGATTTGCTGACAAAGAAGCTTTTGTATTGGAGCAGAAAGCATGCACAAAGCACAGCAGCCTGCCTTGGACTGTGAGCAGGATGTAAGGCTACCAATCTAGGCATTATCCCTCACTAGGGATGTTGAAGAAATCTGCAATAGAGTCAAATGAGTTTGGAGTTCTATGATTTCAAACTGCAGATTCTGCAGCAAACCAGCTTTTTCCAAGTCACACAGATCTGCAGATTTGCAGACCAGTTTTTCACTTTTGTGGGGAATTAGTTCTAATGTGCAAGAGCACAAGTGGAATGGAATTCTCATAACCTCCCCCCCCCGCAAAAAAAAAATTAGCCTTACAGTTGAGCAGATGATGAAATGAAAGAGGCCTGACAATTCACAAAACAGGATGGAATGGTTGCAATGAAATCTGTGAATCACTAACACTTCCTGATAACAATGGGAGTAATTAGTGCAGTTTCTACAAAGAGCAGCATTGGTTTCTTCTTGTGTTTCCTCTCTATATGGCATCTTAGGCCTACTGTTTCAAGCATGCATTGGAGGGTCATGTACAGAATTACTTTAAATCTATATCTAGCAGCTACATAGTAATCCATTTTTACTCTAGAGTAGGTGCAGGATCCAAAGCTATCAGAACAGCAGTATCAGGGTGAGTAGGTGAACTTGTAGATCAGCTCCCTGCACCTACTCTAAAATGAAGAAAAAATATGAAGCTGGTAGAAGTAGTTTTGAAAGATTGCTATTTTGACCCTGGAAATCTTAGGAGGTAGCGGCTAGGAGTGGCTTCAGGAAGAATTGCAGGAGAAAGATCATGAAAAGGGTTAAGCACTCTGGGCTTTTCTGTTGACAACTGCCCTTTCCAAACTCATTTCTGTAATCAAAGGGGTTGCTGCATTTCTGTTACACTCATTTTGTTCTTTAGGTTAGCTGACCTGAAATTTATAGATGCTGTTTTTGTTCTTCTTTGACTTCTAGCTTTCCCTAGATCTTTACCATACAGAAGATGATATCTACAAACTCTCACTGGTCCTGGAACCAAGAACATCTAAATCAGTATGTGACTTTTTCTGATTTAGGGATAAATATGACACCATTGTGCTGCTTTTTTGCTTCAGACCATACTTCTTAAGGACTGCATATCCTGCCTTTTCATTTTAAAATTGCATGAAGTAGTTCATACCTTTTAATTAGCTGATGCCTGTTGATTGTTTAGAAATGATAACACTCTGTGTTAGAAGCCTACAGTTTGTTCCAAAACAGACCAAAAGTAATCTCATGAACTTGTTAAAACATATGAATTGTTAAAACATATGATCTGGCCAGGGCAACTTCTTCTTCCTTCTCTTTTCTCCTCCTATATTATTTATTTACTCATTTTATACTGATAATTTTAATTTTATATTATTATGTTTGTAACTCAGTGTATTTTTTGTATTTTTGTATTTAATGGTAATTTATTATGTTCTATTGTATTTCAATGTATTTTATTCTGTTGTAAGCCACCCCGAGGCTTCGGCAAGGGGCGGCATAGAAATGTTATAATAATAATAACAACAACAACTACTACTACTACTACTACTTTAGTAAGACCTCAGTGTAATTCCCTTATGGTATATGACTTGTCAAGTTGTCAACTGCAGCCTAAAGCAGTTGATTTTCTTCTTCTTTTTTCTACCTTTTCTTCTTCTTTTTTATTTATATTATAAGCTGTCCTGGGACAATTGGATTGTGTAGGATGGGTTAAAAGTATTCTAAATACATAAATAAAAATAAATACTAGGGCTTGTGTGCCTCTAACACAAGGATGGGGAATGTCAGGCTTGTGGCTGTATCCAACCCGCCTCGCATCTCAGACTGCCCTTCTACCCATAGAAAGGCAATTTAGAATACAGTCCAGTGGGGATACTTGTTAGCCTCTGAAGTTAGTGGATTATGGACTTCCTATGCAAAGCAGTAGGAGCATGGGAGTGATCTTTATCTCCCTGCCATTCCCAGATGGTCAGTTTTGGCTGTCTAGCTGTGGAGTGTTAGTGAGGGAAGGAATCTGGAGCACCACCAGGATGCAATGTATCCAGAGTATCCTTGATCCAGTCCCCCACCCCACTCTCCAGAAGTTTTCCCTTTCTCTAGGGTTGCCATTATGACATCAGAGAAGCACTCCATCCTGTTCTTTTTGAGCTGTCTACAGGAAAAGGGGGATCCCCAGCTCATCCTGTGGCCAACTAGATGCTAGCTAGCATTGCTCTGTCCATGAAATGTGTAGTTTAGCCCTTGGGTGGAGAAAAAGGACCTTTGAGTGACAGGCTGCAGGGATATGAATATCAGGTACTTTGGCAGCTTTAAGTGTACCCCTGCCATAGACACAGCTGTGGCCAAGCCATGTCTGAAGCTATGGATTTCACATGGATTTACAATTCACACATAGTTTGAATTTAGCATGCCCATGAGGCATTCCTTTCTTGGCTCTTTGCAGCCAGAACAGCTTTATGTAAAGAGCTTTGGCCAAAAGGAGATTTTGAACAACTTAGAAAAGAATCAGATTTTATGCAACTGAAAAACAAGGTTCTCCCTGCTTCAGGAATATGCCAATCTTGTTTACTGATACGTTTTATTGACTTGTTACTCTCACTGCTTTTAAAGCAGTTTTCTTTTGGTAAAAATCCCATCTAACAATGTAGCTGCTTCCCTGTTTTGCTCATCTCTTGGTACACTGGCCACTGCTACAGTGGAAAATTTCTAGTCACATGCCTGTAACCTTTAAGAATGTCACTGATTGTCTGGGTGTCTAGTAATCAATGAATATTCAGTGACATTCTACTCCTGTGGCAAAGCAATAGACTTAAGTGAATATGCAGAAACCTCTTTCACTTCAAAGGTTCCCCTTCCAGCATTTTCTTTCCACCAAATAATAAGATCACTTCAGGCCACTTCACACTTCCCTTTGTTGTTGTTACTTCTTTGGTCTCTCATGTGTATAAATGATGGAGGAGTAACTAGTGTGTGATATTTCCAAAACTAGGACCCAGGACACTTGTTAGCATAAAACACCAAAGAGGAGCTCAGCACAGCATCCCCTAGACTGCCTGCACACCGTAAGCTAATAGCTTCCTTGGAGCCCCTCACCCACAACTTCTCTTGTGGCTCTTTTATGCTGCCAAGTCCCCTTGCTGCTTGAAAACTGTATAATACTTAAACCAGCAGGCGCACCAGCACAAAACACATTCAGAACCCTGTGTTGCAGCTTCACGGTATTTTCAGACAGAAAAAAAGTGCTGCATTCACTTTTTAAATTACCCATAGCTCTATTGTGACGGTACTCTCCTGCCTTCATGGTTTCAGGGTGCTGTTTCCATAATTTTGCTTTGTGAGGTGGCTGCCCCCGTCCTCTCTTGCTGTGCTGCCATCCCTTGTGGCAGTGATGAGAAACTTGTCATCCAGGCATTCTGGAGGGACACAATTCCCGTCAGTCCTAGCCAGCATAGCTTGTGGTGAGGGATCATGGAAGCTGTAGGCCAAAATATATGAAGGCCCCAACATGCCAGTCCCTGCCTTCTGGCAGCAGCAACAAGTCACCAGCAAATTAAGATGTTCATGAGCCGTTGGGGAACATCACTGCCAGGGGGCAGGCATCAACAGTGGGCCTCCACTGTCATGTATGAATGTAAGGAGCCCTTCCAACTTAATTCAGCCACCATGGTGAGTGGGAACTGGAGTAACTTTACACAAAAATGCACTATGCTCTGGTGTTGTTAATTTTATTTTTAAAAAATCTCCAGAGACACATTGATTCCTTTTATCTGTGTTAGACTGTAAATCTAGATAGCAATTGCTAGCAGCAGGGCTCCTTGGCCAAGAGCATCCACCCTCTGCTGCATCTATTTTATAGGGACTGAATATGGAACTACCATAACGGGAAAGGATTTGGAGGTGGTGGTGGGGAAATCATGCACAAGTTTCAATGCACCTGTAGTCAGTCAAGCATTGGACTCCATTCATAGTGAGACTTACATGTGCTTTTTCTGATTTGTCAGCAGCCTACCTCTCCAACAACCCCTAATAAGCCGGTGGTGCCCCTTGAGTGGGCCTCTGGAGTAATACTGAAGCCTGATCCAAGTATCATCAACAAACACATTCAAAAACTAGTTGATGTAAGTACGTGAGGGTGTGCACCAATTTACTTGTTTATCTGCTCAGTAGCCACTTGAGAAGTACAAATGGGTGGAAATAGGAGAGCACAATCTGATCTGCACTTACCTTGGAGTAAGATGGCACTTAGTTCTGGTGCTAACTTGAATACCGTTGCTCTGCAAGAGAATGTTTGAATGTGCTGGTGCATATTTAAAAATATAAAATACAGTTTTACAAGAGTTATTTGCAAAATATGCTTAATGTTAATATTTCAAAAACAGGAATTTCAGTGATAAGATTTATGACTGTGAATCAGGTCATGGATGTGTGCGTTTCTTAGAGCTGCTTTACAAGAAACAGTGTCCTACAGAGATGTAACGCCAACCACCTGAATGCTGTTACATCACCTTGCATTACTGATGGATACATACGTCCATTTCAGCATATGCAGTGTTTAATTTAGATACTGAATTAAAATCCTATCCCACGTTCATTGAAAGAATTCAAAGCAGTGTGCATCAGATTTTGGCCAGACAGAGAGGAGTTTAGCTTCATCTAAATTGCCTGTTACAGTCCATGTGTGTGGTGATACCACCATTGTCCCAAAACTGAAGATATTTCCAGCTGCCTGAAAAAGCTTTCCATTATGCCAAATAAGTTTCAGAAAGAATATTATTTCTCTTTCTCCAGATATGGCACAAGGAATCTTTACAATGCTTCCTCTCTTTTAAAATGTCCCTAAGTAAGGAAAGTCCTTTCCAAAATGCTTTGGGAATAATATAAAGTACCCCCCTCCCAATATCTGCACTTCTGTCTGGGGCACAGAACTACCTTTCTTGCTATTTCCTTGGTAGTACAATTGTGTCTTCCCTTCATGCTGGGCCAACTCTACCATTGGGCAGAGTGGGGCTGTGACACCAGACAGGAGTGACAAGGTGTTGGAGTGTCAAGAAAAGTGCATCACGTGGCCTGCCCAAAGGCCTTTAAGTTAGCATGTTGATCTCAGGTGTGTGGAAGACACTGCCCTGCCTGAGTTCATGTGGAAGTATGATTCAGCTGGCATCTTGATTGGCTTCTGTATGTTGAATGCAGGGGGTGAGGGAGGAGATACCATCTGGTCCTTCACATGAGGCAGCAAAGGCTTTAAGCTGAACCTACCCTCATGGATGACAAAATAGACCTGTGCATGCTCATTGCTTGTAATTCTATACACATGACAGACAGGTAGTTTTCCCAGGATAGGTCCACCTGGCGCCAACGTTATATGCTTTTCGGTGCCAGGTCGAGACTTTTTTATTTCTCCATACTTTTAATGTTTAATTTTAACTGTTTTTATGCTCAGTTTGTGGATCATTTATATTATTTGGGTATCTATGTATCTATGGGATTTGAATTATAAGCCATCCTAAGGTAAAAAAATTCCCAAATAAATAAATAGGCAACTAATGAAATCCATGAAAGAAGTCAAGTACAGAACACCCCATTAGACCCTGCAGTCAAAAAGTGGTCACATTCTGATTGCCATCAAAAAGTTGCCATTTTTAAAAATCTTAATTATTTATATTATCTTTTTATTTGAATATGTTTTACTTATTTTTAACTCTGACTGTATTTTATTACTATTGATCACATTTATTATTTCTATTATTATTGACTATTGTATTATTGATTGTTTTATTGTTGTTGATTTTAAGCTTGTAAGCCATTCTGAGATGCTGCTGTGAAGGACGGGATACAAATGTTTTAAATAAATAAATTCCTTCTGAGCAAAGCAGCTGAGGTTCCCTCTGTAAGGTTAAAATTTTAGGCAGCTGCTGTATATAAAAGACCATTATGTTACTCTCAGTATTCAAATCCTAAGTTGTTCTGTAGGGTTAAAGGAAGCACAGTGAATACAGAATATTTATATTAATAGTTTGGAGCCTTTGAGCGGAACTTTGTTTTTACTTTATTTATTTATTTAAAACTTTTATATGCCATCCTTTATGCATGGCGTCTTGGGATGGCTCACAATCAGTAAAATCAAATACATTAAAAACAATCTAAATAACATATAACCAATAAAACACAACTGTTGCATTAAAATACTAATTTTTTAAATAACGGTTAAATAAAAAGGTTTTGACCTGGAGTTAAAAAAGAGCATATTTTGTCAATAGTACCTACACAGAAAATATTCAAGTATCATGGCTGAATTCACTCAATTACATCTGGATAAAATTGAATGTTTCTCTTTTGCTCTGGATTGCACCATTTTTGTAGAACACATGTCATTGCATCATTCATCATTAATGCAATTGAAAAGCAGTTTTGTACATCACCTTTCTGATGCAGCCATACAAAAATCCCAGTTTGCACTTCTACAAACAGTTCCTTGCCTTAACCCAATCTAGATTATTACAAGCCCAGCCATAGGCAGAAACTAGGTCGGAGTGTTTCTTGGACAGTTACCTTATACATTTGGTTTGAAATTCATCTGAAAATATATGCCCTAACTTTGTTTATAAATCAATGCAAGGCAGTTCAGCAAATTAAAACAATTTAAGAAAATCAAGCCTAGCATCAACAAAAACCTTACCAAGCAAACCAGTAATAATGGCACAAAAAGAAAAAATGCACCAAAAAGAACAATAGCTGTCAGAAGAAAAACAATGTAATACTTTTGAAACAACCTCAATCAATCATAAAAGGTTTTCACTGGATGCCTGCAGATATACGTGATTGGTTTTGGCACAACTTCCTAGAAAGTGTGCTTCATGGAATCATCATCCCCATTGGAAAGAACCTGCTCTTGAGAAACTTGTGCCAAATTTTGGTTAGCAAGGACACCCAGAGCAGAGCTACAGGTGCTGAATGTTGTGCTTGGGACACACGTGTCTTTTCAGTAGGTAGCAAGTTCAAGTTGGCACAGCTAGCATTTTAAATAACAGTATGAATCAATCCTTAGCTATAAAAAGCTAGCTTCTGTTTGAAGCCATGTTTCTGTTCCCTGTGCTCTGGAACCTCTGATTCTTCCATATGCTTTATATAGCAGGTATAAGGACCTGCACTCTGTACCTTCTTTTAGCTCAGAGGTACAGAACTCTGGCCTGAAGGCCCTGTCCAGTCTTTCTGTGATCCTGTTCTGCCCCTCTAGGCCACACCATCTTTCTCCTGACCACTGATTCTCTGGTGATATCCCAGCTTTTCTGGGCCTTTCCCCTATTGCAAAAGGTTGAAATGCCTATTCTTAGGCTGAGTTACTGGCCATAAAAGCTTCAAGTTAAAAAATTTGCCTCCAGGCTCTGGAACGCAGTTCCTGAGAGCTGCTCAGCAATGGCAATCAACCCTTGGAAGAAGAAGATTCAACACTCCTGCTTAAGTTGTTATCAGTATTTACACTGGACTTTGATTTTAAGTGTGGTTTCTTTGCCATGATCATAATACATTATCTATTTTTTCACTGCATTATTTCCTTGAAAATTTCAGTCTGTTTTTAGGAACTATGACCATGACCATGACGGTTATATCTCCCAAGAAGACTTTGAAAGCATAGCAGCTAATTTTCCTTTCCTGGACTCATTCTGTGTGCTAGACAAAGATCAGTAAGTGTTCTTGCTCATATTATAGTTTTACAGTGCAAACCACTGGATGTTAATCTGCATTTTATTGTATTTCTTTCTTTATATTTTTGAGAAATTGTTATGAACTGCCCATCACACTTTGGTTATGGGGCAGTATAGAAATAAAATTAATAAGAAGAAAAACCAAGTCCCACTGTTTCTTTAGTATTTACTTTGAGGTAAGTGTGCATAAGACTGTAGTCTTAATTTATAAATGTAGAAGAAACAGCAGTGTCTTTCATTTGTTCTGTCTTATCTGTAATAGTTAAGACACTTTTCCTTCTGTCTGTCACATCTCAGCACCACATGGAATGGGCAACTAAGGGGCCAATATGTTCTACTAATTGCATGGGTGTTGCTGAGACCTTTATTTTTATTTACTCTTGTATAATCACTTGCATTCCCACTCTGACATGGGACCATGGTACTCCAGGATGGGAGGATTAAACCTTTGACCTAGCCATTTTCCACCCCAAATTCTATACTCACACAACTTGCAGTGAGGATGGATAGGTTTTAAAAAGGAAGAGAAATTTCAAGTGGAATAATAATGAAGACAGACAAAAGTCCCAAAGGATCTCATGGGTAGCTTTAAGCATCTGCAAGAGTGGCTTGGGGAAAGGATTGGTGCTATTATAAAGAAATGCACAACACACAGGTAATCAAAGTTGAACCACAAGTCCGGATGCCACTTCAGAATGCTTGTTCAGGCAGTCCCTGGGTTATGAACATCTGAGTTATGTACATCTGTACTTATGAATGAACTGCCATAAAACCAATTGATTTTAAAATTCGAGTTAAAATAAATGGTTCACAGTAATTATTTCAGAATCTAGTTTGTTATGCTCATGAAAACTTGCTATTGATAATTAAATTTTTTTTTAATGTGCATCCTACTGTGGGAAATCATCATCACCATAGAGAGGAAATGAAAGGGAGGCCTCTGAATCAAGTCTTAAAGAGAGAAACCTCCCCAGCATTTCCTTGATGGTCTAATCCATTAGGGTTCCCCTTCTTCATTTATTCTGTTCTTATAGTCTTAGTCCCCCCTATCGTTTTCACTCACCAACACCACCTGTTTGCACGAAGGATATGCAGGAGACATTTCCCTTTCTGGATGCGCGGGACAAGAAGCCATACTTTGGAGGCCTCCCTCTCTCCCTCCTTGCTTTCTGTCTCTCTATGAAGATGCAGTTCCTCAGTAGGCCACAAAACTCCCCCTCCCCCCAACATCTCATTTAATTTTTGATGGGAAATTTGCCAATAATCAATTGTGCAAAAGTTAAACCTGCAAAAGTTGAAGTTTGACAATATTTTGATGATGGGGTTTTTTTTGAAGGACCACACCTGTCATTTTCTTCAAGAGTAGCCACAAGGCTCCCAAGAAGGGCCAGATTGCCATATTTCTCCATGGCAGTCTTCTGCAACCTGTTACCTTCCAGACCACACCTTTTATAATCTCCATGCCGGTTAGGTATTATGGAGGATGTGATCCAACATCACATCTGGGTAGCTTCTGATTTGGGAAGGGTTTGCAAGGTAATAATTATCTCCCTACTTCTTTCCCTCTTCTTTTAAAAATAGGGATGGTCTTATCAGCAAAGGAGAAATGATGGCTTATTTTCTGAGGGCCAAATCACAACTGCAGTGTAAGATGGGTCCTGGTTTCATACATAACTTCCAGGAGATGACTTATCTCAAACCAACTTTCTGTGAACATTGTGCTGGATTTGTAAGTATACCTCAGTCCAATTTTGAGGTGCAAATGGGCCTGAGATGTATACATTTACTTATTTGAGTTTTCCTCTGTCCTATTTTGAAGATGTAAATGAATACTTAAAAAGACAAACAAAAACTACTTGACTTGGTAGATTTTGTAAAGTGGCATTTTTAAATAAGTAAACAAGGTGAAAACAGCATCAAACATGGGATATAAAAAATGGGCCTTTAACTGAAAGCAGAAAAGATGCAACAATGTAGTCATTCCTATGGATGTTTGTCCAGAAAGTGTAAGCCCCATCAAGTGCCAGGAAACTTTCCCCCAGGTAAGTGTAGGATTGCAACCTAATTTTTTTGTTCTTTTAACCTTAGCATTATTTTAACCAAAAAGTCTTGATGCCTCTAAGGACAAGAAAAATTGAAGTATTAGAAATACTGAAATAGATTCCTTTTAAAAAGCCAAATATGTATGTTGATTCATTCCAGGTGATTTTTTAAAAACTTGTTGAATCACTTCTCCTCTGCTGCCTCATTTGTAAATTGTGGAAATGATGAGGGGCTGGGAGCTGCCTCGATCTTCACAGCTGAATGGATAGCTCTTTCTAGCAGGAAGGGTGTTGAGAACAGTGATTTCCTGTTTGTACTTTTATAGCCATTGTTCCTACCTTTGTAATAAAGTTGTTTTCCTTCTTGCTTTCTTAATTCCTTTTATCTTTAATTACAGCTCTGGGGTATAATCAAGCAAGGCTACAAATGCAAAGGTACTGTAAATCTTGCATGGGCTCTGACTCCAAACCTTAGAATTCCAGTTTTACCTTAATTAATTCCTTAATTGCTGTCAAAAGAACAATGCAGTGCAAATTAGCCCTCAGATTGACCTGAAGAGTTATGTATAATGCAATTCTGTGCATTCTTACTGAGAAGTAACTTCTGCTGAGTTCAATGCACAGGATTGGTCAAGGTAAGTGTGCATAGGACTGCAGCCTTAATCATTGGTAGGGCAAGAAAACACTCTGCTACTTCAACTCCTTAATTCATTTTAATGCTTAGCTTCATTTAAAAATGAGCATTCTGATGATTTCTGGTTGTGCATCTGTTTTTCCAAGTGACCATCTTTTCCTATAATAATGAACTCAGTGGTGAGTATTGAGAGCTGTATAGCTAAACAAGGTCACTGAGAATTGAAAAGAAGGTATTGGTATGTTCAGGGTACACTGAGGTGTAGAAAAATTCAATTTAAAAAACAAACCTAAGGGGCCAAAATATCCCTTCCAAAAACTGCTCAGTAAGGACTGAGCATGTTCACTGGCCACAACATGTGGATTGTCAGGAAAAACCTAACAAGAAAGTGGCAGGGCCAGGGAAGGTTATAATGGAGTATCCTGGAATTGAGCCTCAGTGGAACGATCTTCTTGCAGGTATTTTTTTTAGTAATGAGGGTAGTATGAGAGTTGGCTAAGTTAACCTCACATTAAAATAACCAGGATTTAAGTCTTAGCTGAATTGTGCTCTAGTTATTATCTTCTTGCAACAGTGTACAATTTGATTACACTCTTGTAGTGAAAATCCTAGAATAGTAGAAAGACATTTGGTTATATGATAGCAATTAATGTTATAGAGAACTCTTCCATGACATTGTCAAGTAATGAATAAATGCAAGAGTGAAACTGTGGCTTTTCTTACAAAAATCTAATCCTATATAGAGGACTGGCACAGAATCCTAAGTGTGAATGGAATGCTTAAGCCCTTGTGTTCCTGGCATTTCTCTACTTCACATGCCGAAAAGCCACTTGCTCCCTATGGAGTTCTAAACATTTTATTTAAAGAGGCCTTCATTCCACAGCGATAGGCATACATTCATCAACATACCAGTACTGATATGGACTAGTCCTGTAAAAGAGGCAAAGAGCAAGGAATTGTTTCCATGACTCCTCAGAAGTAATTTATGTACAGCACTGGAAGTTCATTTCGTGAACAGCTAATTTCCACATTGTGCTGATTAATTAGAAGTATCTAAGGTAGATTTTTCATTTCTGAAAGTCTGGCAGATTTGAGACTTTATCTCTGTTTGCAGCATTTTGGAAATAGTAGCTTGCCGAAATTAATTTTTCTTTGGCCTGGCAATTTCTTCCAGATTGTGGTGCCAACTGCCATAAACAGTGCAGGGATCTGCTAGTTTTAGCCTGCAGAAAGTTTGCCAGAGGAACATCACTGAGTAGTAATCATGGGTCTCTGCCCAATAGCCCGTCATTGCCAGCAGGTAAGAGCAGTCCCCATGTCTCATGGATGATTAATTGAACAATGACTTTGATTGTCCAACAGTTCGTGTGGTATTTATCTAGAATGCAAATAACCATTGCTTTGATAAAAGAAGTTACTTGTTATATTCCCAACAATGTCCTTATTAGTCTACCACACAATAATTCCTAGAATGACTTGGAAAACCCTCTTGAATGGTCAGTGGGTAATGCTACAGATCTCAGCTATTCTCTGAGCATGGAATTTATTGACTCCTCAGGAATGTACACATACAACACTGAACTCCCACAAGAACACAGGTACCTTCTTGGGTAGCAGCTAAAATATCAAGGGCTTTATGACTCTAAGCTAAACTGTTGGATAGAATTCAATTCACTTGCTGCAGGTAAAAAGGTTTCAGCCAATTCATATAAAAGATTTCTACCACCAACTGAAGTTGGAACAAGGCTGCTCCTACACAAACAACTCCATAAATGGGACAAATAGTTCCTCCTAGTTGCTGTGTATCAGTAAGAGAGTTGATTATTTAAAATTTTTGCCTGGATTACCATCAAGCAACTTAGAATGTATAGTCTTAGAAGGAAAAGAACTACATAACTAGAACCATACCAGTTTGCAGGTAGCTGTCTATATGCCTTAGTACCACACAAAAAATATTCTTCAATCAACCAAAGTTTATTGTACTAGCTAAAGGCCATGACAAACATATCAAATATATGCACTTTGCCTGGCTGACTTTTGGTCTCACTTCCTTGGTTCTCTTGACCAACTCTTTTGCCTTCTTAAGCTTCATTGACTTGCCCAGAGTTGGTGGAGGTGATGAAGCACAGATGGCACGGTGGTTGTGGCTAAAGGCACAGACCTCTGCAAAGTAGCAGAGGCTGCAGTTGATGGGTGAGATAGCTCAGGTGCTCTCAGGGTATCAACTGTACAGAAGGCCTTATTCCAGAGCTCCACACAGAGATATGAGTTGGCGTGATGTTTGCCACCTTGTTTAGAAAATGCTTAGCAGTGGGCTCATTGGTCCATGACATGCCCCTCATCCAGGCACAGAAGAAAAAGACAACGCCTGGCAGTTGGGGGCAGCTTAGCTCTACATCACACACTTTTGTGCAATGGTGCATTCAGTGCCACCCGGGAAACAAGAAAGGCCAAAAAAGAGAAGAGAAAAATGCTGAAAAGATGGCTCAGATAGGGAAAAATGAAGCATTTACCTTTTTTTTTTTTTTTTTTTTTTGAGGGGGTAGTAAGTGGGTAGTACAAAAGGGAGCAGTTGAAGAAAAATGCATAACAAATCTGGAAAAAGGGAAAAGGGTATATGTAGAGCGAAAGATGCTCATAAAAATATTGAAAAAGGCTAAATAAGATGAGAATGTTTTGAGCTAAAAATTACAGAGAACTCTCTGGGGTACTAAAAGCAATCAAAGGAGAACATAGGGAAATGATGGGAGCTCCTCCCTTTTGTATGGAAGCCAAGGTGGAGGAGGCATCCTGCCAAGATGCGTAGCTGTTGACTCTTCCTGGCAACAGGGTCCACACAGGTACAGAGCCCGTATGTGTGATGTACAGAGACCACAAAGAAGAATGGCCAATATGGGCCTAACAAGTGTGTCCCTGGATGTTGACACACATATACATCAGGTCTATATGTTTGATTACAGTACATGGCATTTAAGACCAAAGTATGTTTCAATGCATAGTATCTTTTTCAAGCTCTAATCAATGTACCTAACCCCAACCCCAAATAGTACAGGAAGGGGGTCTATATCACTGAAATGAGTGTTTCTTTGGTAACTAAGTTGGATAGCAATATTACATTGAAAAGAGACTTGGACCCCTTTGTAAAAAATGAGAACAGTGGTGGCACAAAGATTTTCCTGTTCAGATGTTTGGTCTTTCGTGTAGACTTCACATATCTAATTCACATATCTATTATTCTGTGAATAATAAGAACAATTCACCAGCTTCCCCTATCTAGTGCAGTTTCTAGGAGCAATGGTTAGAACCCATATAGACATCTTCCTCCAAGGTTTGATTAGATGCTATATCCCTTCTACCCACTATATGTGGACCTCTTCATACATTAGCTTGTGTGACTGTGTTTAATTTGGCCCATGTCATTCCACTGGAAGCCACAGCTATGAAATTACTTGAGCTCAGCAGGGCTGTCAAGGACAGGACATTTTGCAGGGTATTAATTCATAGGGGTGCTGTAAGGCAAAGATGATTTAACAGCACGTAACAACAGCAAAATTGCATTCTTACTCCTCTCTGAAGCTTCTGTCACAACCATTCCTCAAACACATACACATCCTGCATGAGTTAAACAGGGAACAGCAGCCACTGAGAATGGGATGCTGAAACAACTGTTTCAGGATCTGACAATAGGTGACAGTAAAAACCATTTAAATCTGCCTAATCATTGTCAAGTAAGCATAGGGGTTCAGCTTTTAGAACCAAAGGCTTAACCTTGTCTAAGGTTGCTTCCTATCTCCCCTTAGTCATCACTTCTCACTTTAAATATCTGAGCCCTGCTGTTGACAATAGAAGAATTTAGTATCTTCACTTGGAAAAAGTTCTAGTTGGGGAGAACATTTCAGCATTTCCACTAGAGTGGTCCTTTTACACTAAAAATAGACTTCTATAGCCAATGCATATATGAGTAGTACACATAGGCCTAAGGAACAGGTCTGCTTTTGCATTCATAATTTGCTTTGGAGACCGAGGGTAGTATAGTGGTTAAGAGTGTTAAGTCCCCAAATACTGATTATATGGGGAGGTTCTGGCTTTTGGGCCCTATTTCCGTTTTAAAAGATTGGAATGCTTCTTCTAAGGCTTAGTTAACGCTTAAGAGCTTTAAGCTAAAACAGGTTGGTATGTTTTGTATTTGGGCCCACTTACCAAGTGTGGCCGCAAGATCTTCTCCAACATGGAATTTGGCCTTCCTGCTGAAAGAGATTCTGCATCCCTGATCTAGAAGGGCACCACTAAAAGGTAACAGAACAATATTTTTGTCAGTGTGATACAGCTGAATCTTAAGCTGTTGTCAGCACTGACTGTGTTGGCCCTTTTATTCCTTGCCAAAGAAGAAATGGTTTGTGGTGTTCTCGCTGGTTAGTAGAGCTTGAAAATACTACTAATGTTACTTTTTTAACTTTCTCATTGCAGTAAGCTTAGAATGGCCTTACTGCTTCTGCATTCAGGCTCAAAAACATAAAAATATTTTATGAAAAAAATTAAGTGTTTGTCTGCTAAGGTGATGAATTTTATTATTTGAATGCAGTTATACTGAGTCATGTTTTAAAATGTTGGTTAATATAGTTGTTAGAAGAAAAGAATTTTGATTGAAAAGCAAACTTAACTGAACAGAAACTACTAAGTCTCATTGAAATCAGTGATGCAGAACAAATACCAGAGTTTATGTGCCTTCTTTATTTCAGACTGTGAGCTGGAACACTGGATTTTGTAAACCACAAATGAAATATACAAGACTTTTAATGCAAAATAAAAACTTTTGGCTCCATACTTCTGAGCTTAAACCAATGTTTTATCCAGCCCTGCTCTTTTTGTCTTGCACTGGTTACAGTATTATTAGTGAATTAATGTGTATTTTCATCCTCTGCTTTGTAGTACAGGATGAAGTATTCCATTTTCCCAGTGTAGCTCCACAAAAACAGGATCTAGATAACAGAGCAATCACACTGGTAACTGGTTCTTCTCAGAAGATTTCAGTCCATCTACAACGGGTGACCACTAGTCAAGCAACTCAGACCGAGCCACTGTGGCATGAGCCAGGTTGGGGTGATTCAGGATCACACACGTTTCCCAAAATGAAGTCCAAGTTCCATGGCAAATCAGGAAAGAATAAAGGCTTTGCAAAATGGGAGAATAATGAAAAACCCAACATTCAGACCAACATGAATATCGCAGTAGCAAGTACAGCACATCTGCTGGACCAGAATGGAACAGAAACTCTTCTAGAAAGGCAAGAAATAGAGGTGGGTAAGAGAATGCCATTAAGTGTTCAAGGCCTATGTTCTTTTCATTTGTCTTCAAGTACTATAAATCATGCCATGGATAAGGTACAGGCCCTACAATTATTATACAATTCCTTTGCTATGCACCATTTAATAGTAGTAGACAGGATAAATCCTCACCAGTAAAGTTGACTCTAGTTCTTGGGAAGCTTTATTTCTGTGACCCCCACCTGTTCCACAACCTATGCATGTTTAAATACAACAAAGTCCTACAAATACCAGCGTCCCCCAACTAGGCCTGCTTGCTGGAGAATGCTGGGAATTATAGGACTATTCAAAGAACACAAGAATCACCATGCTGGGTCAGATTATCTAGTCTAGCAGTCTGTTCACACAGTGGTCAATCCATTGCCTGTAGGAAATTTACAAGGCAGGAGTGCAATAGCACCTTCCTGCCAAGTTCCCCATTAAGTGGTGTATATATGAATGTTACACTGTGTTTATATCCTGCCTTTTTTTCCTCTTCCAAGGAACCAAAGGCCTCTGATACTGGAGTTAGCAGAGAGCCATCAGGACTAGCAAACATTTATAGCCATTCATTCTCCATGAATTGGTTTAATTGCCTTTGAAGCCATCTACTACATCTTGAGGAAGCATCTTCCATAGGTTAACTGTGCAAAATACTTCCTTGTGTCTGTCCTGAATCTTCCCTTATGTAAGAAGCTTTCTACACAAAGAAAACTAGCATGGCAGGAAGAGGAGTTGTAGCTTAGCCTTTTCTTGAGAACTAGAAAAGTTACAAACTTGAGGTCTGTTAATATGAAGACACATTTCAATATGCATTCCCGGAAGTGTGAAGCAGTATTATCTGGCGGGATGATACCTCTTGATTGTGTAGCTGGACCCTTAAAATAGGACCACCGGCCTCTCTTATAAAACTGTGCCTTTTGATTTGTTACAGGCAAGCTGATCTGCATTTGCTGCTGCTGCTGTGGCTGCAGCTGCTGCAAAAGATGGAAGCGCGTTCAAGGGAGCACAATGTCGTCTCTGTAGATTACCAGATTTGATTGAACTTTGTACAACTGATAATATTCAGCAGATCCTTTCTCACCTGTGATGGAAATGTAATGACTGAATACACTATTTATTTTCTCACATAGCTTCAGTAACTTGATTCATCTTGCACAAACAGAAAACAAAGGAGTGGGCATAGCACCGACGTGTCAGTGATTCTCAGGTAAAGGAAACCATGATTCTCGTTCATTTCACTATGACCAAAGACACACTGACTTCTAGAAGTATCACAACTACCACAGTAGTGGAAAGCTGACTGATGTGTGCCAAGTGTCGCTCATTGTACATTCTGATGCATATATTGTTGTTCCTGTCTTTGTTCTCCTTTTGTGTTTGAGAGATGCTTTATGTGGCAGTGAAAGCAAGACTGGTAGCCTTTGAAAGCTCATGTAACTCAGAGTTCATTGCATCACACAAAGTCCCTTTGAGCTCATTTTAATTCTTTAAAGGCAGGGCTTGTTTTGTTTTCTGAACAAGAAAGATGTTTACATGTTTACATATTTCCATTAAGTGTGTGACAAGCTACTGACATGGGTAGGAGTAACTACAACATTCCCAGCATGGGGTGACTAGATGATGCAACTTTAAGCATACGTGGGTGGGGAAAGGCTTGTAGAAGTTTCATTTAGTCATGTGGCTGGTGAAGGAACTGGAGGGAAGGGGTCTGTCTGTAATGTCCCACGTTTTAGTTTTATGGTTATGCATTTTGTTGTTGTTTTACACCTTTCAACAAACTGGAAGCTATCTAAATAAAACAACTGATTTCATAAATAGTAATGTATAAAATGTTTGAGAGTCAAGATTGTACAGAAACAGCCTGTTCCTCCCCTGGTATTTCCTAGATCAGTCTGCCTGTGCTTTATTCTAAGTATTGGTTTCAATTGCACAAGAATGCAGTGCAGCCCTCCCCTTCATCCCCAGTGCATGGGCATCACCCAGAATGTTTCCCTTGGAAACCTGGCAAGAGTAAAGTTCATATTTCCAAGTGCAGAAACACTTAGCATCTATTAGACAAAAGTGTCCAGCTTCTCAATGGAATAATCCTGGCACCCCCAGATGTGTTGATTTACAATTCCCATCCAGCTGGCTAGGGATGAGGTGAGTTACCTTTCAGATATGTTGGGCTATGCCAGGTTGGGGGATCAGAGTACTGCTCTCTCCTCTGGTTCAATGCTTTCTGCTCAGACAACCCAATAATCCTAACTCAAGGATGGTTATTGAACTGTGGGTTGTTGATGAAATGTGGATTTTCATGTTGCTTGACACAGCTGAAATAACTATTGCCATTTTGTACGGTTCACAACCCAACATCGAACCATGGGTTTTCATGGGTTTTTAATGGTTAACTAGCCATGGCTTCTTAGTGCAGTTGAGACAATATGATAATCCATGTTTCAACAACAATCCACATACAGCCTTTGAGTTTATTTAAATCCACTCACTGTGTCTTTGAAACTGGTGAGCGGTGTTGAAATACACATCACTACCTGTTCCTGCCACATGACAATGGTGTCCGAGGCACCTTGTAGGTCAGCTACTTGAAACTGCATCATGTCCGCAGATAGATGCAAAATATTAGTCGTCGTCCATGGTACTTTTAAGCCCATAAATTTACCTAATCCTTTTCTGGCAACTAGGTAGGCATTTAATCACCATATTGAAAATGGGCTCTAGATAATGTATTATGCATCACATACTCTAAATTTTCAGTCCCTAGTATTTTATTCAATTATGTGATAAGATATAGAGAAGTGTTCCACTGAATTTTTTGTAAAGACCAAACTTCTACCTTTTAATATATTGCATTCCAATGGGAGACCTGGGAGACAAGGATTTTCATTTGTAAACTTGTGTTAGAAAAGGAAGGCCAACAGCTGCCTTGCTATGTTTTGCTACACAGTATTACTCTTCTTCACAGATGATTCCTTCCAGTTCAGTGCTTGCACAAATGGTTTTCTAGAGCTTACTCTCATTTATGAACACTGGATAGTGGGTGATGACATTCTTCATAAACTCTCAGAACTATTTCTTGCACAATATCCAAGAAACAGGATAAAACAGGCCTTCACGTTTCTTCAGGGAGTTTGGTTTCTCTAAGGTTCCTCTCCTTCTCTGTCAGTGTAAGGAACAGAATAGCAGAATAGGAAAATTAAATAGGCACACACAACCGAAGTCATGGAACCACATTCTGTGGACAGACATTATAGCTGGTGAGGAAATCAACATCTACTCTTGAAAAGAGGCTTAGTGTGCTATTCTAGGCATGTTTAGGCAGAAAAAATAGTCCTAAAATGTTTGGCTGGAGAGATGCTCAGAGTGATAGGGCTTTCATCTATCTAGGGTTGCATCTTTATTCCAGAAAAGAAACCAGTTCAGTAGGTAGCTACTAAACAATGGAGCAATAATTTCTTCCACAATTTAACAATCTAGTTTCTGCCTAGGTACTCAGTTATTTTAGTGGGACCAAGATAAGAAAGAGCTAGGAAATGTAGAGGTCCATAAAATGTGGAATTACATTTGAGAAATGCTTTTATATTTACATATGCATGAAACCTGGCAATATACTATCTAATTAATATTCAGTTTATGTAAAATGTAGATAATTATTTCACGCACATGGCTTCTCAGCTATCTTTAGAACTACCCTTGGATATGCAGGCAGTCCCCAGGTTACAAATGAGTTCCATTCCTGAGAAAATGGAAATTAATTTTTGCATTGAATTCATATGCAGGTCAAAGTATGGATAGTTACCCCCCCCCCACATTCATGGGGCTTAGGGGTGCAGGACCCCGGTGAAAGTGGAAAAACTATGAATATTTCTACCCCCCTCTGCCCAAACTCATCAGTGCCTCCTTTTTGCTGCAAGGAAATGCTGGAGAGATTTCCCACTCCAGATGGACAGGGCAGGAAGGCGTGCTTTTGAGGCCCTCTTTCTCCCCAATTTCACTTCCTCTCTCTCTATGGAAATGACAATTTTCCACAGCATTTTTTTTAAATTAATAGGCTTTATAGCAATTTGTTCATAAGTACAAGTTGTTTGTAACACACATTCATAACTCAGGGACTGGCTATATAACAATAAAAGCCATGGCTATTAATGAATGCATGCATATAAGTCTGCACTGGTAAACTTTGCTAAACTGTTGAGGCTACTAAGTAAACTGCAGTATTAAAAAAGTTCTGTCAGAGGCAAAACACTTGGTGTTCATTGCATTTATATTGCAACCTATATTGTAAAGAGTGCAGGCCAATGCTTCAGTGTGCACATGGACCACCTCCCTCATAAATGAAAATGACAAAAAGTGTCCTTCCTGAAGCCAAGCAGTATAGCCAAGGTCCGTTTATAGCCTCGCGTGCTTTTTCCGGTTGCTTCAGCAATGTAGCAGCCCGTTCCCCATGACACAGTCCCATGCTCTATGCTCCATTCATTCTGTATGCAGCCACCAACATACAGAATGAATGTCTCTCTTACATAGGCCCTTGCCACACAATTGTCACTCTAACAGGAAACAATCCTGTAACAGGATAAAATGTTGGGAGGTCATATACCTGCTCCTATTTGGTTTTTCATAGGTATTAAGTGAGGAAAACAACTATTAGGATGGCCGACACAATTGGAATTGCTCACATGATGACTATAGCAAAGTAGTATTTCTTCAGGGAAGTGATCCTTGCCTTAATAAGGCCATAAAGCAGAACCCAAATTTAACAGTTCAGTTCTTTATTATTGTAAGCTCATACCATTGCTGTTATATGAACACCTTCTACAAGCAGCTTCTAGAACTGTTTTTGTTACTATTATGTCATTTTGGCCACCATTATGTCATGGGTTCTCATTACTGGAACCCTTGCCCTATGGTTTCACTATGGCTTCTTAACCACAAACCCAGAATTCACAACTCTTCTGTTCATAGTTAACCACCTATTGTTGAACCACAGAACAGGGTTTGCACATAATTTGTGATTCAAAACAACCTACACTTCAATGGCAACCCATAGTTCAGGTTGCTGTTATGTGTGAATCAAGCCTTTATGTTGCCATATTGTTCAATGACCTCTACTGATCACATCACTTTTGCAAAGAACAAGCTGGATACATTTGCTGTTCATGAGCCACCACTCTCTCATATTGCTGTGTGGAGACTGCCACATGTTCACACACCAGCCAAAAAACACTCCCATGACCCATCAGAAGCAGTACCAGTACCCACAAAACTTGAACAAGGAATTAAGATCCAAACAGCCTTGAAAATAGAGTAGCACTTCCTTTTACTTAAGCAGGAGCGTTTATATTCATGTGAAACCCTTTTGTAAATTTTAAGTATGTTGGCAGTAGAAATAATAAAATCCGATGCTTGCTGAAGCTAATTCACATGCACCAGTTACTTTAACTAGATCTACTTGACTTATTTTTAACTGCTGGGCCTTAACAGGATTCAACAAGCCAGGCCCTCTCGGCTCCTTCATCTTTTTGCATTAAGCAGCTTCATCTGAAAGAGGATTCTACAAGTTTTCCTGAACATGCATAGAAAATCCTCCCTGTAATCAGAAACACCAAAAACCTGGTGTTCCCAAGCACGTTCGGGGTGTAACAATTCCCTCTAGTTTATGATTATCTATGTGGGAAGGTCAACTGAGTGGAAGGGATGGCAGCAGCACGCACTTCCATTAGTTGCTATTCGCTGTTTAGGCATAACACCTGAGCAAAGCTAATGAGGCATCATTTTCTGAGATACAGAACCCAGATGCACGGAATAGCAGGAGCTGAGAAAGATCTAGTTGACTCATACATTAGGAGCAACACTGGATATAAACACCACCATTGTGACAGCAGTGATTCTGCTTCCATTGGCACAGCTGCATTTTCCTACCACCACCACTAGCAGCAGCTGTTCTGCGCGTATTTGTCACAGCTACGTAGCACAGAGAGAACCCAGTGTGAAGCCCCCCAATTTCCTATTTTCACAGTATCAAATCTTGCCAGCAAAGTGCTTCTTAACTAGCTATGCCAATGCACCTCTAATTAAAAACTAAAGAAAAAACAATAAAGAGAACAGATACTTTTATTGCTTACCTTTTACACAATAGCACACCTTCACCCATTTTCTTTCACAGCTTGACAATGTTTCTGCGCACGTGCGCGCACACACGCACGCACGTATGCACACGCACACACACACCTAAAAAAAATCCAGGCAAGGCGCATTGATGCAACTTTAGTAAGGAAAAATGTAACAAACCAGCGGAAGAGCATTTTGTCTTAAGTTAAATGCCAAAATGAAGTCATCCTGCATTTGCTGATCAGTGGTATTAACTCGTGCATAAAACAGGTTTCAAATTGCCATTACTGCTAGCTAATTTCAAGTAAAAATTAGGCTGGTCAGGGGAATCAACTATTTTTTTGAGGGATGAAAGTGAGTCTGAATTATGCTGAAGCACAGGGCTACACATATTATCTGTTCACAATGTAGCTTGGTTTGAGATATGACCTTTTGTGGGGATTTCTGGTGTGGACATGTGATGTTTTCAATGAGTGATAGGATAAGGCTACTGAACAAGTTGTCAGTTGTAGAGCTCATATAATAGACACAGGGCTAGTGAAATAGGCTGCAATAATGTGCAGTTATGAATGCATAAAGCCAATTAACTTCAATGGGGCTTATGTGTAGTTAACTGCACACACATCTGCAGCTTTACAGTACAAGTTCGCAGTGAGTTTGTTGGTTAGAGAAAGTCGAGGTGAAAAGTAAGTTTCAAAATGGTTTGAACAGCAGGCTGGAAAAGAAAAAGCCAATACAGAAAAGGAAGACATACTGATTTTGAGATAAACAGGCATGTACTCCAAGTTTAGAGATTCCTCCAGCACACAGAAACACAGCTTAAGAGTTCTGAGAGTCCTGGAGAAGAAAGGCTGCAATTAGATTTTAGGAAGCATCAGACTGTCTGTAACTTCACAAATGTTGAAAAGCAAAGATAGTTTTCCCAAAGCAGCCAGTCATGTGCAGTATGCTTTGAATTCAAAAAGAAAATCATAAACAGACTTCTATTACATGAGCTCTAACAAAATGGAAGCTTATGTAGCCTCAGCTTGTGAAGTGTCTTCCTTGTCCAAATCCAGACTGATTGTACTGATAACCGCCATGCTGGAAGTGCTGCTCAAATTGACCCCCTTGATTAAAGTTCTGTGCACCTCTTCCTCCCCAGCCACCTCCTTGCCCGCCACGTCCGCCACGTCCTCCACGTCCGCCTCGACCGCCACGTCCTCCACCTCGATCACCGGAGTGCCCATCTTGATATCTGTTGTCTTGTTGATAGTTGCCACTGCCACCTTGATATCCACTTCCTGAATATGAAGATTGGTAACCACCATAGCCACCGCCTTGATAATTGCCACCACTGCCACCATGGTACCCACTAGTTTGAAAGCCTGAGTCTCTGTAATTGCTATCCCTATAGTTGACATCTTGATAGCCACTTCCTCCACCATCAGTCCAGCCTCCTTGGGGTTTGCCTCCTCTTCCTCCCCCTCTGCCTCCATGTTCATAACCACCACGTCCTCGTCCTCCTCGTTCATGACCCCCATGTTCATGACCTCCTCGACTTCCATATGAGTCATATCCTCCTCGGCTTCCTCTATCATAACCTCCTTGGTCATATCCTCCTCGGCCTCCTCTGTCATGTCCTCCTTGTTCATAGCCTCCACGACCTCCATATGATGATTCATAGCCACCTCTTCCACCTCTGCCTCCACCACCTTGCTGCTGAGGACCATCTTGCCTTTTTTGCCATGGTGGCATCTCAGGAGGTGGTGGTTCAATTTCATTGGGTCTACCACCTCTGTCAGGCACTCGGCCCATTAACACCTACAAGTAGAAGAGACCAATGCATTGGAAGAGTAAACACAAATCAAGAACTATACTACTTAATAATTTGGCAACACATGAAACCCCATACAAGTACAATGTTGAGTCCATGTAAGGAAAAAAAGAGAAGGAAAAGGAAAAAGAGTTGCAAGGTAATTGTAGAGGGGTGATTCTTCAAAGTGGGAAATGTTAAGACTTGATCACTGTTAGATCACATGAATACAGAGTAGGGCCATGACTATGACACTTAGACCACTGAATAAATCCATGATTGAGATGGAACCTGCATTCATCTCTCTCTAGCCTGCACATTATCCCCTGGGCTCCACTGTCTTTACTGGACGCCATCTAGCAACATGCTCCTGTAGATAAATGCAGCTATGAAGAAGCATCTACATAATTACACGTGCACTTTGTAAGAAACATCTTGCTGTGACTATTTTGCAATACTGCAAATAAACATGACCATCATATTATACTGCATACAAATTCCAATCCTACTCCAGGATACCACAAATACATATATTAGGACATAGGCTTATACCAATATAATTTGCAAAACAATGGTTAAAATAACCTAAGCAAACAGAGAAGCCATTTGCAATCAAAGATGTGGTTGTTCCTAGCTCAGAGATGCTGATCTACCTCCTGTATTAGCCTGAGGACATAGAACAGTTTACAGCTTGTATACAATGTATAACCACTGAACTGTTGTCATTCCTACCTCTTATTTTTTTAACTTTGGCAAAAGGAACTGAAAGGTGGGTGGAGAGGTAACATGCACATACATGTGTAAAGGCAGTGCTATTCCATCACATGCACAATATTTTATCTAATAGACTTAATACCTGCATATCAAGCACTAATTTGCATCAATGGAGCAACACTGATACCTTATTAATGGCACATGCACTCTTTTCTCTGATAGACCCACTGCTAGTCCTCATGATCTTTGACAAGTCTTGTCGCGCTGCCAAGAGGTGAGCAACAGATATAGTGCCTTTGGTGGATAACATGGCACGCTTTGGCTGATAGACTTTAGCCAATTTCTCTGTTTGACTCTGTTACATAAAGAAAATGAGACAGAATGAATGTAAGTCAACAACTAGCAGTGATCTTCTGCTGAAACATCCAGCTGAACTATTCATTCCCTAGTGTAGCAAATAACAGTAGCTTCAATGTCAGATTAAAACTCAGATAATAGTTATCCTAATTAAATACTGTGTGCATTCCTGAAACAGAGCATAACAAAACAATGATCTTCTGGCCTTATGCAAATAAGATAGTATGGCTCTGGAGCCTCCCCCACAATATGATTAGTTTGAACACTACTGCTGAGGAACAGAGAACAAAATCTGTAGCTTATTTTGGGACTGTTGTTAAGTAGGCTAGTCAATAGATTCAGAAAACAAATTTTGTTCCAATGTCCGAAGACTGAATCCATTTTTTTCTATTATCTCTCAACCCCTTTTCTTGGATCCACTTGCACATGAATGAGTAGCCCAAATACACAAATTATCCAATTTTAACATTTTTTCTATTTTTTCTATTCTTTTGATTAACAGTACAGTTTGAGAAATAAAAAAATAATAAAGTAAATACAGCAAAGAATCACCAAGGGATCTACATTTTATACATTTCTATTTGCCAGAATAGCTTTCATAATGAACAATATCTCAGTATTTACATCACATCTCTCTCAGGCATATCTTGCAACTGTGTTGAAGCTCCTATCCATATTTAGTAATTTTAAACTTTATATTTAATTTCTCTCTCTCAGCCAATAAACCTGCAAAGTCTTACTGGTCAAAATCTTGCTTTTAATCCATTCAGCAGTTCCTATTTCCTGCATCTAATGGGAGCAGCAATAGGTAAAGACAAGGAAAGATAAGAGGAAAAAAATCCTGATATCTTGCAAAAAGCTGATGGGGAAGTATGGAACTCTGCAGAAGCAGATCCAGATCCTAGTATTTTTTTTCTCTTCAAACTTCCCATACTTCATCTCCTATTTAACATCAGTTGCTTGATCTCTCACTTTCTGAACTACATACATGATAGGAGATTAAAAAAAAAAAACAGGCCACATGATATGAGCTTTTCAACTTTAGTCCCTGAGCTTGTTATCAGTAGGGAGTTTAGGCAAAATTAAATGAGGGATGTAAAGTGGGGGGTAACAAAAGAAACTGTCTTGCATTGAATTATACTATCTATTTCTTTAGCCCAGCCTTGGCTACCCAATAATGAGGGTCATATACAGTAGTATTTCTGAGCCCTGTGACTCAAGACCCTAGATATCATAAGGTTTGAGGTTCAGTCCATGATATGTGTAGCATGTACAGCAGGAATCCCATATCCATGGAGGACAGGATCCAAGCCACCCCCAGTGGATGCCTCAAACTGTGGATAGTAGCAAACACTACATTTGCAGGAGTTAGGGGTGCAGGAAGCCTGCAAAAGTGGAAAAACTGCAAATATCTCAAAGGGAAAAACCTCAAATATCTCTAGAAAAAACCACAAATATCTCTAGAGTCTTCACGCCCACTGAGAAACAAAGCACGTTAAGTGAGGCAGGCTAGTAATAAGACAAAGAACATGGCATCTCCAAACAAAGTACATAGTTGCCTAGAGATATCCATGGTTTTCCCCTAGCAATACCTGCAGTTTTTCTACTTTTGTGGGGGCCCTGTGCCCCTAATCCCCACAAATTTGGAGGGCAGATGGTCAACCTTGGTAAAGTGAAACCGTGACAGCAATTACAGGGGGTCCTGCTGTTTATGTTTTATCATTCAATTGCAGTCCTTCCCAAATAGAGCTGGGAGACTGAGAGCTTTGCAGCAAGAATGATAAAGGGGATGGCAGAGTTACTGAAAGTGGGCAGCTGTAAGCCACGGTAAAACAAAATAGTGACCAGGCACCGAGTGGAGAAGCAATGCCATTTGATTACATTTTGGAAACCAATTAATAAGCAGTATTATAGACAATACTTCCATTTGAAAAGGGAGAAAAAGGTAGTCAGTTGATCTTGAATAGCATGGCTATGCAGTCATTAAGATGAATTATCCCTATGCAATTGCAGAATTAAGAAACCAAGAAAACAGAACCTCTTCTATTGATACAATTAAAAGCAAACTGCTATGTAGTGAGTTGCCTGGCATCATCCATAACCACAATAGGAGGGTTTGCAGAACCCCAGAGATTGCAAAAACCATTAGAAAAAAAACTTCAGGAAACTCCAAAAAACAGTCCAATAATGAGGACTGAGTGTGCTTGCAAGAGAAGGCTGGCTGAAGGGGTTGAGGTGGGGGACAACGGAGCCCAAGGGAATGGAACGAAGTGGCTGGAATTTTGCACAGGGAGCACTCCACACTGCCCTGTTTTGTTACAAGCCCACTTGTCAAGATTCATTCTAACTAAATGTTCCCAGACCAGGTCAACTCAACTGTGGAATTACCCCAGCACCATTTAACTAGCACAGAAAGTTGCATTAATAACAGACAGTGAAAGCTCTTTGCAGGTACAAAACCTGCCTACAGAAAGCAAGCTGTACCTTTGCTCGATCTGACCAGCCAAATGACTGGACAGTCATATCCAGACGCTTCACTAATAATTTCCTCCGGACTTCATATTCATTGGCTATGGCTTGATTAATAGCTTCAATTTTTTCCTGAAATGACAGCACAGAAATTTGCTGAAATCTAAGAAACAAAACAGTATTAAACCTGTGTGCCCAGCAGAGCAACACCTTAAGAGTGGATCAGACATAACATTCTAGGACAGGAAAATGAACTGAGTCCATATACTCCTTTATTGTGCACTAGTTTGAAGGATTCAACCCGATCCTTTTCACTGTTCCTTATTTAAGATATAAAAGGAAATTAAGATGTAATATTAAGTTTATTAGGCAGGATTTTAAGCCATGGTTTCAGTCTGCTTCAAAACCCTTGTTTATTTACTATTTGTTTACCAACATTAACAGAAAACTGTGGTTTAAAAATGCTTAAAGAACAAAAGCTGGTGCGAGAAGAGACAGGGGGCAGCGAGAGGAACACATGTGTTGGACATTTGTTTCTATCTTTATAATCTTAATAATTCAATCTATGAAGGAATAAGCCCTAAATTGTACATCTGTGCAAACTGTTTGACACAATAGAAGGATGATTAATCAATCTTTGATCATTTTAACTGCATGTCAAACAGAAACATGAATTTAAACTCACTAGAGGAAAAAAGCATTTGTCACACTAGTCTTCAGTATTATTTTTCCAAGCATAATTTTCACCAAATGGCAAATTTGCTTTGTCTGACAACTCCCCAAAAATTATAAAAATGTTAGAATTGTTTTAATGGTGATATAATTTGTCTTGACAAAAAAAAGAGCAACAGCAGAATCATTTGATTATGTAAACTGCCCAGAGTCTTGACTAATAGGCAATATAGACTAATATTCTTGACTAATAGGCAATATAGAAATTAAATAAATGAATAAATAAATAAATCGTGCCATGAAGACTCAACTAATTTTAAATCTCAACTGATAACCTAACTCCTAATTCAAGCAAACTTATGAGAAAAGTAGTCCAAACACTGGAAAGGCAGAATAAGACTAGCTAATTAAGTGCCTCAATTAGTACTGCAAGTGCAATAAAAATATGGGGGGTTGCATTTTAATTAAACATATACTTATTGTTTGGGATGCAGATTTAGGTACTTTCAGGAAGATGATGAAGGCAGAATTCCCTCTTCTCCCCACATAGGCCCCTCTAGTACCTTTCCCAAAAACTAGAAAAGTTTAGAGGACACTGTTCTATGGTGGAAGAGGAAGAGGGAATTCCTTGAAAATTGGACAGAGGCATCTACTATGAGTAGAGCTTCCTGCCAACCAAAGAAGTCCCTTGTTTCACAGAAGGCAGATTCTGAATCAAACCTTAAGAACAAATACCAGCAAGACACGCATCATTTCAAAGCTGCAGAGCAAGAAAAAGAACGCCTCAGTGGCTGTATGCCAGAGAAACAGCTCCTGTTTGAAACATCACTGGAGATGCCAAGACTAATTTTAGAAGGATGGACTATAGTTCCCATCAAAGCAATGACTCATGAACTTTGAAGACTTGGAACTCTTCTCCATTCCAGACGATCCATACCATCTGGATTCAGGATAGTCTTTACAATTACTGGCATTCAGATGTTGCACTTCTAAGTGTGGCTGAAGTCGAACTGGCATGGCATCATGGAAAAGTGTCCAATTTCAAAGTTTCATATTTAAAACCCTGCAGACTCGTAGTAACCTGGACTTCATCCCTTTTTACTGCTATTGCTATAGTCCATCCACAGATTACAAGATGTGAATCATCAACCTGAAAGTCACATTTCCAAAATTCTCTGTAGCCTTATTAAAACCATAGCAAGCATCTTCTGCTTATTTCCCAGAAAGTTTCCATAGCTGGACTGTTATTTTCCATTTAAAAGCAAAATGTTTTTTTCTTCCCTACACGTTGCTAGGAGCACTATTTCACACATAAATCTTCTGGATTGTACTGCCTTGAGAGCAAGATTAAATCACTTCATAACAAAAATTATGACATATATTCTCCAGTTTAACGAGCTCCTTCATTATTCTCCTGAAGGACTAACTTACTTATCTCACTTTCCTTGAGGGCACTGGGAAACAATAATCAGAAACTGGACACCTGACTGCATTGAACTTGTTGAAGAGCCAAGAAGATTTTTCCTCAAATGCATATTGCTTTATTATCTCAATAAAATTGAGACTCTCCATATTTCAGAATACTTAGACCAGTCTTCTCCAACCTGATGTCCTCCAGATGAGTTGGACAAGAACTCCCATCATCCCCAGACAGAACAGCTAATTCACATGCACGCTGAGATAGATTTTGATTAAGATTTTTGCTTTTCCACTTTAGCAGTTTAATTCACTTCCCTAAGCCAAGTGGATAACTGTATTGAATTACATTTTGCCTGTAGAAGCACTTACATCTCATCCCCTTTCTGCTTCCAGCATAGTACAATTTGAATAACACAATTTTTTGAAAACCTCATGCTCACAAAGAATGCTATTCATTAATTTCAGAAAAATACCATCTTCTGCTACATTCATATAAACTATGCTATGCTCAAACAAGGATCCAAGTGAATTGCTATTAAATATGTGCTTTGAATATACCTGAAAGAACTCCAAAAAAGTCCAATAAAAAAAGACTTAAAAGTTAAGAGTTCTATGGACAAAAAACTTACCCAATGAACTGGGCCCAGTGGTTTTGACAGTAAAGGCTTTCCTACATGACTTGCAGGAACCTTTGCTAGTGTTTCTTTCAACTGTAAGAAAATATGCCGTGTTAATATATCTTACTGAAAGCTCACTTTCTCTTCCTCAGAAAGCCATATAAATGAAAGGAAAGTTTCTGCATGTAATACATCTAGAAAACAATTTTGACACTTTCAGATCTAATGTAAGAACCTGGCCAGTTTAAAATAAAGACCTTCTGCCATATTTTCAGAATAAGATTATGCCATTAGTAAAGTAAAAAAAAAAAACCTTTTCATTGGATGGAACAGAAACATGGATTACTTTTCCAGCATTATGTGAAAAACAGTATGTGGAAAGCCAGAGTAAAGGGAATCTGACAAGTTTAATCTTAAGAAACAGATGGAGACAGAACTAAGTAACAGCTGGATTTTATGTTTTCAAAATGAACAATTAACCATTGTTCCCGTAGAGCTAGGGACATCCTCAAACATAGAACCTAATCTATTTTCTGAACCTGAACTTAATCTATTTTCTGAACAGAACCTAATAGAACCTCAGATAGCTTCTCCCAAATTACATCTTAAAAGTATGACTACCTGAAGACTTCATTGTTTCAACATTAGCCTCACTCTCCCGTTTTCCCCACCAAGAAAACAGTGGCATTTTTGCATAATATTTAGTTAACTCATTTACAATTCTACACCACCCAAAACTACAGGCTTTATTTTATTATTGCTGGGACAACACAACTACCTTTGCTTTTTCACATATAATTGAAATGCCCAAGAAACCAAGACTTGCACAAGAAGGTAATTGATAATTTCACAATAGTATTTCAGGAATGGAAAGTCTGACAGAGAGGGATAATTTCTGGTCAAGAATAATTTCTGGTCAAACAAAGGAGCAAATGCTTTTAACACCAAACAATTTATCCCTCCAAGAGAATCAGTGCTAACCTTTAACACTGTGCTAACTTTTAGAGCCCTGAACAGCTTGTGGCCTGAAGTACCTGAAGACCACTTTTTACAAAACACTCCTCACTCCTCCAGGTTTCCTAACCATCCAAGCCAAGATGGACAGTGACTACAGACAAGGACCTTCCCAACAGTGGTGCCACACTTGTGAATGCTTTCCCTAAAGAGGCTCACCTGGTGCCTACTCTTAGGTCTTTCAGCACCAGGCAAGGATTTTTTTTAATGTTCCCAGGCTTTTGCTCTCAATTTTATCCTGTGCTGTTGTATCTGCAGAATTTTAACTTAATCCATTTAGCATTTAAACTAATGTTTTAAACTTTTAAGCTATGCATTTTACTGTTGTATTTCTAAGCTGCCCCAGAAATATTTTTATTTAAAAATAGCATGTAAATACTTTAAATAAGTGCCATACAAATAATTATGAACTTAGATCAAAAGGACTGCAAGCTGTATTCTATGCACATACATGCATGCACATACAGGCACACATTCTTCTATCCACATATACTTAGGTAGCTATCATGGCCCAGAAAAAAATGCAATCCTCAGGTCTGGGGGAGTCACCAAAAGTGTCATCTCACAGCAAGGGGATGAAAAAGTACATTGGTGCTTTAAAACTGCTTGCCATCAGGAACTTTGGATCCAAACCAAGTAAATTCTTACCTTTTTTTCTATTCCACTGAAGAACTGAAGCATGGTTATGTTGGCTGGAGGCTTCGACATGCCCAAAGCAATACATATGCCTTTCAGTTCCTGAAAGACTTCACTGCCACTACCTTCCTGGGCCTTCTTTGGAGGAGCATTCACACACAGCATTCTGGCAGCTTCCAGTTCTGAGATGAGGTATGCTGAAAGAAGAAAAGTTACCATTCCACACAATGCAGGCAAGCTCACAATACAACTGAGTTCATGTTTGACAATAATTTTGACACTAACCAATGAAGGAATCTAGTTCTGTACATGGTAACATGTTCATATCAACTGACCCAGAGAAAAGATTCAGACAGGACAACATTCTAAAGAAGAATGTATAATCAACTAGCCTGCCCAATTAGGACCCAAGAGTAACAGTGATCAAGTCAGCCAATAGTAGAATTCTGAGGAATTCCTTCAAAGAATGTGAGAACATGAAGATGTGCATCATGTAACTAGAATGCTAAATGGACTATTGCAAGCAAAGCTTTCCTAAGCACCCATCTACCCACACTCTCCCTTGGCTACCACTAAAAATGGCACCCAACAGCTATTGTATAATTAAAAGTATAAACTAGGTAAATAAACCTCATTGATACATTTTTCTTCTTTCCGCTAACTGCATCCCTTGCTTTTATTTTAATTATCAAACATTAAACTTCTTTATTAGCTAAGCTTGTTCAAACCAGAGAGAAAGACATTTTGTAGCTTTAGATTTTGATGCAGCTACCAATACAGCATAGAAAATTTGATTCTAGGGCCTCAACAGTTCCAAATACATCAGTCCTACTATTATCATAAACTCTCAAGCAGCAACAGGGGAGAGGACGTATTTCTCTTATGTTTTCTATGACATTTCCTTCAACCTACTGAGCAGCAGGAGACAGTTCTTCTGACTGAGAAGGCGCTTGGTGACATCTCCTGAAGTTAGTGTTGTGTAAGGGCAGTTCATTTCACCCAGTAAGCCACTCATTTCAAGCTGGAATTCATCGGCTTCACTTGGACCTTAAGGCAAAGATCATCTTAGTTTAAAAAAATCAGCTATTAAATATGCAAACTCTTGAGAATGTGTTAAGACAAAACAAACTCAAAATCCATAACTAAGTATTAAAGCAGACTGTTTCTCAAAAATAAAATTAAGATTTCTAACAAAATTATGAAAGTTATCTGAAAAAGAGTACTCATCATACTTATTGATGAGAATGATTCATCATAGAAAACTACTAATTTTTATTGCCCACTCTTGGAAAACATATATGTATAAGCTGTGACTCCACAGGAGTACACAGAAAGACAGAATGTGGTATTTGAGACATACTCAGTTTTCTAAGAAGCTTAGATTTCATTTTTAAAAAGAGCATGTTTCTAGACCTTATGAGCACAAAGATAAATGAGGGAACAAGTACACTTGTTGAGCTCTGAAAACTGTGGCTAAGTCAAATTTTCATCAGTAGAGTTTCAGTGGTGCTTCAGTGCTGTGCAAAGCTCCTTCTCAATACCAAATTATGGATAATCAGTTACGTACAATAAAGTAAATTATGCACACAACTCTGTTTGCATATTTCATGATGACTGCAAAATTGTGCTGTTTTTGGCACCGAATATGAATTGCCTGTATGCAAAAATAGTAATTATTTTCAGCACAAAGTACAGCTGAAGATATCACATGCTAACATGCAAGTCCATCTTTATAATACAGTGTTTTTAAAACCTACAGGGGATTATATCCTGCTTTATATACAAAAAAAAATCTAAAAGAATTCAACTATGACGAACAATAATCAAATCTGAAAAACCAATACTGGAAGCATAAGTGTTTGGGGTTAGTATAAAAGACACCAAAGTTCTGTCAGAGTCATGACTACTCACTGTTAGTCGCTTGTACATTTTCCTCTAGTTTACAAAATAAACGCAATTCTGCTACTAGCCAAGCACAGAGTTTGGTATATTCAGGAGCACTGGCTCCACCAGAAGCTGCCTGGGTTAGAGCTCCATCTTCTAACAATGGGCCTTTGTAACTGGTAAACAAAGAGAACCAAAATAAGGATGTACACTCACATTATTAAAATTCACTGCACAAATTATCAGGGACACATTCTGTGCACCTATACTGATGATATGATATATATAATAAGAATACTAATACTTCAATGCTAACACAGTCACTTAGAAGCTAAAAATTATCTGGAAGATTGAAAGGGAACTTCCTGCCAAATAAACATCCTTAGAATCAAAGCCTAGAGCCTCACTCTCCACCAGGATCAATGTTCAATCAAATGTTAGCTTTTTTTTTTTTTTTTAATCTAACATTCTTCCCCTATTATGGTTGCTTCTTCCAGTCCTCCCTCTTCTTGTAGTCTGAAATTTTTGCCACTCCATTTTGTTCCTTCTGCTACTGTCTCTGCATGTAAAATTTCCAGTTCGGATTGTAACATCCTTAGGACAAAGACATATCTTGTTGTAGGATGTAAAATGGAGATACAATATACATATAAAAAGGGCAGCGAATGTATAACTTTAAAAGTGATTCATTGTAAGTTTCACTGGTACTGACATATGAACAACTAACCAAGGTTTCTATTCAAACAAGTTTTCTGGCACAACTCATCAGGTAGCCAGAGCTGCAATTATTTTTTCACAAGAGTGCCAAAGCTATGAGTCTCTGCTTAGTTTTAAAAGTGGCTTTCTCTTCAAAACAGATGAAAAATCATTCTTCCCACAGTACATGCATGTACAGCAGAGGTAGGGAACCTTGTCATTCAGCCCAAGTGCCAAGATCAAGCTCATAGAAGCTCTCAGGTGCTGCACTCCAGTGTCAGGTAAATGGGCAAAAAATGACAGCATACTGTAATGGAGGCAATGCTCTTACAGCCCCTAGACATTATCTGAGGGGTCACAGAACACTTCAGATCCCCAGCTCTGAAGTCAGAGACACCACTCCAGCATTAGAGCTCTGACTTCCTTCCCCTTACTCTCCTTGAGCTGGGCTTTTTCCTTCACATGCATAGGATTACACCTTAAACTCTTACTGCCAATAACTAAGCCTTCAGGGAGACATTTCAATCTTTTAAAATGGAGAAAAACTGCACAAAAGCCAGGAAGCCATAAAACAATCAGTGGCTGAGATGAAAGAGGCAGAGTGAGGAAAGTGCATTGCCATCTAGCCTCTCCCCCAGGAAGGGTCAAGTTTGGCCCTCAGGCTTAATGTATAGTCCCCCTCCCCTGCCCATATATAGTCAGCACTTCTTTGGATCTTAGTCCAAATATTTGTCCTTGCACGATACATTCCAGACAAATCACTCGATAATCCTATTTAGAAGATACATACAGCCATATTACTGCCAAATTTATTACTGCCAGATAGAGAAATGATTAAAGATTTGCAACAAGTAAAACTGACTGCTACAAATATTTTAAAGTACATCTTCTTTTATCAATTCTTTCAGATGCTCAAACAAAAACAAAAGCTATTGTGAGCTTCTGAAAACTTCAGAGAAAAATACTTTCAACATTAATAAGAACCTTTGGTACAGTAAATATGAGAACCAATATATGGTATTTATTTCTCACCTATCCATATGCTTTCTCTTCAAAGGCTATCCCATATTCCCAGCGTTTAAGTACTAGTTATAACTTAAAAAAATTATTTGCCCATCCATGCATTTCCCACTATGCTAGCCAAAGAAAAATGGCATGGGTGTCATAGACGACTAGCATAAATTGTTTGCCGGCCATCCTCATGGTTCTGTAAAATACTTTAAATATTCAAATTGTTTATGAAATGCATGTGAAGGCTGTTCAAGCCCTACAGCTCAATGAAGGCAAGCATCCCAGTTAAAACTTCAAAGACTCAGCAGGATTTTAAAGAACTGAAATAAGCGATCACCCCTATCCTCAAATGGGGTACAAAGTAATAAGGCAGATTAAATAATGATAAAAGGTTTGATTACCAAAAGTAATCAAAAGTACTTATTCATGCTTGCTTTCATACATACCCTAGGTCTTCAAGCGACTCTAGAATATCATTCTCCATGAGCTCAAGCTCCATCCTGAAGCTTCAGAATCACCGCAAGAGAAACAAGCCTGGAACCTGCCAAAAGCAAACTGTGTGAGTAATGTCCGAGCGAATCAAATGGCCGTTATCATACAGACTGAGCCGGCGCGGAATTAATGTTCCCCCTCCCCGATCAAGGCTACTGCTTCTACACACACACACACACACACACACACGAGTTTGTCCCACACAGATTTACGGTCTTGCTATTGAGAACAGTTCCATTTACTCCCCCCACCTCACCCCACTGCACCCCCTTTCCTTCTAACGTGATCAAGAAGGGGGCAGCCATTTAATCGGCCCTCTGCCCCACAATCTCTCCCTTATCTGCATTCACAGAATGCTCTTTTCTTTGCCCTCCCTTCCCAGGGCAGGGGGGACTCCGCTCAGCAGCGCCGCAGACCCCACATTCCCAGCCCCTACCTTTTGCGCAGCTGCTACGCCGCCGACTGCTGGGTTGGCATGTCAGGAGCGGGGGAAGGGCGAGAAAAGAGCGAAGGCCCCCTTTGCCTGACCTCTCACCCCGTCTTCGGGAGTCGCCTCAAGTCACGCCTGATTAAAAACGCTTTGCTCTACGTCTTTATAACCAGCCGGCTTCTTCTCTAGTTTTAACAGATGGTCTCTGTTTAAGAGACTGCCTCATTTTTTTCATGCGAGAAGTTATATTGCTAAGCTCAAAAAATATTTACTGTCAGGCACAGAGGAAGACAGCCCGAGAGGTTCTTTCTCGCTTTCCTTTTTTTGTATCTGTTGGGGAACCACGTTGGAAAGAGCTGGGCCTGAAAGGAAAATAGCTGACGGAGCGAGAGAGGGGACAAACTAGTTTAGGCGTTTCATTTTTGTTGTGGGTCTCTAACGTTTGTCGAGGACAAAATGTGGTTCTCACTTAGGATCTTTCAGATATTAATCCTAGAGTATTACTGGAGTATCATGATGGTTGTCGAGGGTAGGCAGCTATCCATTAGATTAGTTTAGTAATACCAGCGCTAGAGCTATATAATATGGCACAGGATTCAGGTAGCCTATTTCACACACAAAGCAGAGAAGACCGGAGGGTGGCCACTAGCGCATCAGCAAAGTTATGCACCACTAATTTGCATATTTATTTATTTTATTTAAAACATTTCTATGCCGCCCCCATCGCAACAAAGCCTCGGGGCAGCTCACAAAATTAGCATATGCATACCTATGGAAATACTCCATAGGTATTCTGGAAATCTGGAAATCTGGAAATACTTGCTATCTGGAAATACTTGCTATCAGTTAAAATACATCTCGCCATAGCGGGAAGATTAACGAGATGAATTGTATGTCTGCAGTTCAATGCTAAACTTGCACTTCCTTCGTACTGTTGTTCATCTTTAAACCAGACTTGGACTGGATAGTCCTAGAAACGGAACTGCCCTTTCTAAAGTAAGACACATGGCCACAATAGGAAGACATAAAACTGGTCCTGGACTTGGAACCAGCCTTATCTAGGCAGAGTGAGGCAGTTGGTTCAGGCTGCCAATGATGAATGATGTGATGGGGCAGCGGCCTCTGTTCTCCATTGGAGGGTAACACTGTGCCTGCCCTGTGGCTGACCTGTCACATGTTAGCCTGTTGCCCTCAGGTAAGCTGAGGGATGCTGTCCCGTCCATTAGCATTGAGCTAAAATTAAACTGCCCGTCTAATGAGATTCGATAGTAAGACTAAGGCAGGTCATCCAACTGTCCTTTTTCTAAGATGGCAAAATGTCTTGGGATGGCCCTGTCTGGTCTGTACCACTTCAGAGTGCACATGTAAAACCAGGAGGCAGGGGAGGCACATTCTGTTGACCAGTATAGTCCAATGCTATTCAAATGTTCATCTACAGCCAGCCTATCTGCAAGAGGAATGTGAATCAGTGAGATCACTTACATGGGCCTGCTTGTATATTGTTGGGAAAATTTGGATAAATCCTGTCTGAAAAGCATTACTTCTGTCTGCTTTTTTGCATTGTGGGATCAAATCCTGTCTTCCTTCTCAAAACCAAGCTGTCACTGTTTAAAATGGCATTCCTCCGCTCCTTTCTCTCACCTTTAGCTGTGGGCTACAGTAGACAGGCCATTTTAGTCCAAATATACATTGTAAATAGTCATTGTTGGAATTCAGTTTGGGGTAGTGGTGAAGAGCATGGGACTGGGACGCAGACGACCTGGGTTCGAGTCCCCGCTCAGCCATGGAGCCAACTGGGTGACTCTGGGCCAGTCACAGACGCTCAGCCCAACCTACCTCACAGGGTTGTTGTGGGGATAAGATGGAGGAGGAGAATGATGTAAGCTGCCTTGAGCCCTTCGTAGGAAAAAGGCAGGATGTAAATCGAAAAATAAATAAAATAAAAATAAAAAAGGAAGTATCTTTTGATAGCCCGGAGGCTCCATGTCCCCTGGCCGATTCAGAATGTCTAGAGTCTAGATAAGAGTCTTGAGCTTATCATGCATAGTTTCTCAGTAGCTTGAATTTACATGTCTTAAGCAGACCTGGAGATGGGTTCAAGCTACTGAACTAAAGTGTCAATACGGGGCGATTAGAAATATTGTAATCTTATTGTTACTGTGTGATTGACTGACATTTCTTTATCTGTTCTGTATGTGATGACCTCAGAATCCTACTGTAATCTCTACATTCTGTCATCAATTGCCCTGTACCTGTATGTGACTGGGAGTGTATAAAAACTCTCTAGTTGTGTTGAAGCTTTGCAGCAGAGTTCATCTCTGCCTGCCCGGTAATGCATGCATTATCGTGAGTATCGAGGGAACCTTGGGGTAAATACAATAAAGCCTCAGATGGTCTGGACGCTTGGTCTTTCCCACGAACCCGAGTTTTATTCCCTCTTCTCAAATTGAGATTCTGGGATTCTGACAATGTTTAATTTTTCAGTCACCTTTTCTGAAAGAAAAGCAAGATTTTAAATACTATCTAGATCATATTAAGGAGAAGAGCTCTAGTCTACCTACAAATTAGGTCGAAAGGATTTTTCCCCTTCTGGGGAAATATTTAATCATGCTGAATTGCAGTTGCACACTAAAGTGGCATAGTCCAGGAGCAGTTTTGATGTTTATCTCCTAATGGAAGGGACATCAACAGGGCCCTGTGAGCCCCTGAGAATGTTTTATTTGTTCTCCATTTTTAATATACATTTATTTATTTAAAACATTTCTATGCTGCCCCCATTGCAACAAAGCCTCGGGGCGGCTCACAAAGAATACATAAAAACATACATAAATAATAATAATATAACAATTAAAAAAACATTAAAAAACCCCTGGTGCATTCTCAGCTAAAAATTTTAAAATCCTAATTAATTCAATAATTTAACAATTAAAATAAGTTTTAAATAAAAAGGCCTTAGCCTGGCGCGGAAAAACAAATAACGACGGCGCCAGGCGGACCTCTCTGCGGAGCGCATTCCATAGATGGGGCGCCACCGCAGAGAAAGCCCTCCTCCGGGTACTCACCCTCCTAATATTCACAGAGGGTTCCCGGAGAAGGGCATCCATTGCGGGAGGGCATATATGGGCGCAAGCATTCCTTTAGATATCCAGGTCCCAAGCTGGTTAGGGCTTTATAGGTCATAACCAACACCTTGAATTGGGCCCAGACTTCAATCGGGAGCCAGTGGAGCTGACGGAGAACTGGGGTTATATGAGAACAACGCCCAGTCCCCGTCAGCAACCTGGCAGCTCTATTCTGCACCAATTGAAGTATCCGGACCGTCTACATAGATTTATATGAATGGCAAACAACTGTCTAGCAATTATACATGGCTCCAGAGGTTGATGCTTGGGAAATACTGCTCAGCCCCAAGAATTCTTCAACATGAGGTTCTTCAGGGACTGGATTTATTCCCAACCTATTTAATATCTACAAGAAACTGCTGAGCAGGGTTACTTGGAGACTTGGAGTATGTTGCCATCAGTATGTTGATGCCATACAATTCTAAACTCTTTTTCATTTCCATCTGCTATGGATGTGCTATATTTTATTTATTTCATTTTATTTAGTAAACTTCTATGCTGCCCTATTCGCCGAAGCCTCAGGGCGGCTCACAGACATAAATAAACTTCATTAAAATAATATAAATTAACAGTATAATCAGGAACAGTATATCAGTTCCTGGTTGCAACAATGGGCTAGGCAAGACTAAGATGTTATTAGAGGGTGGTTCTTCAGACTGATGTGAAGGTCTTCCATTTGTTCTGGATGATGTTGCAGTCCCCCTGAAGGAGCAGGCTCATAGCTTTGGTGTCCACCTGGGGCTATCTTTGTCCCTTGAGGCTTAGGTAACTTCAGTGGAACAGTGTGCCTTCTATCAGTTTTAGCTGGTAACCAACCTACACCTCTAAGTAGACAGAATTTATATGATCTCCGCAATCTATGCCTTGGAAACCTTCAAGTTAGACTACTGCAATGCACTCTAGGTAGGGCTGCCTGTGAAGATTATGCAGAAGGTGCAACCTGTGCAAAATGCACCATCAAGAGTAATACCTGGGACTAGAAGGTCCAAACATGGAAAACCAATTGTAGCTTGTTTAAATTGGTTGCCTGTGGGTTTTACCTGTAAAACCATTCACAGTGTGTAAATTTCAACATCCCCTTCATGAAAAAAGAGTTAAGGGGGGTAACAAGCCACGATGAGCAAAAACAGGCTTGCAAACACAGTGCAGTGGGGAGCAAACAAGTTGGTCTTAGTGCTGAGTCACCTTAGATACCTGCAGGAAGACCAAGGGGAGGGGAGGGAGGTGGCAAAGAACCCTCAGTGATCCAGATCATCTTTCAGGTGCATTGTGGGTTAACCAAAATACTGCTGCTGATTCGTTGTACTGTGTGAATTCACCCATTTGTAATGTACATTAAAATATATACAGTATTAAAACACTGATAGAAAAAACCAATACAGCACCATAATTAAGAAATTGGGCAACACACAAAAGCAGGTCTTTAATAGGTGCCTAATGCATGCTGGGACTGCAGATGGCGCAGTGCTGCTGTGCTGGTTGATCGAAAGGTCACCAGTTTGAATCTGCATGAGGTAAGCTCCCGTACTCTGTCCCAGCTCCTGCCAACCTTGCAGTTCGAAAGCATGCAAATGCAAGTAGATAAAAAGGTACCACTTCGGTGGGCAGGTAACAGTGTTCCACGCACTTCGGTGTTTAGTCATGCCGGCCACATGACCACGGAGACTGTCTGTGGACAAACGCTGGCTCCCTCGGCTAGGAAACGGAGATGAGCACCACCCCCTAGAATCAGACATGACTGGACTTAATGTCAAGGGCAAACCTTTACCTTTTAATGCATGCTACAGTTGGCACTTCCTGAATGCTGGCGGGGGAGGGGGGTAATTTCATAAGGCAGGCACCAGCACAGGAAAGGCCTGGTTCTGTGTTGCTGCAAGAAGGCAATGATACAGTCAAAAGAACCCCTCTGATGAGCTTAATGATCTCATAGATCTATGTTGAACAAGGTGATCTGCCAGATAACC